GTCCAACCGTCACAGGTTGCCTCTAGAAGTAGATCTCGGCGTATACGCCTCGATTTGCTTGCGGTAGTCCTATGCTCTTTTGGGGATCTGTAGGAGCATAGGATGAGAACCATCGACACAACCCCTATCCGTACCGGTAAAACGGTCGGATCGTATAATAACACCATCTCCCTTTGACTCGAACCGAGTGAACTCCGTATTCATGAAAGGATTGCATTGAAAAGGACCACCTCTCTCGGAGCAGGAGGTTTGCTTGTAGTGCTCAATTCGCTGTTGTAGAAAACAAGGCTGGTCGGGAAGAGGCTGTGACGGTGTAAGATCAGGCACTTGTTTCCTCTCTTTGCAGTCTTCACCAGTTGACTGGAGTTGGAGGCATCCAAAATGGGTTCCATTGAGGCGGTCCAGTTTAAAAGAGCTAAGGTGAAAGCAGAGGTTGAGGCTCTTTCACAGGAGATCGAGAGAGCAAAGAAAAAGCTCGAGAATGCAGAGAACGCTGGCAATGCAGAAGCTGTGCATCGGTGGGGTACAGAGCTACAGCAGCTGCGAGAAAAGGAGAACGAGCTGCGCAAGAAGGAGAACAAGCTGCTGGACAAGGAAGCTCGGTTGGAGTCTGCAGGTGTGTCTCCCTACCTCTGGAGCATGTTGACTATCTTGTGCAGTGGCTTCAGAGGAACTGTGCAAAATAGCAAGCAGGTGAGTGCACCTGCTCAGAGTGTACATCCTCTGAATCATCACACGGAGGAGCAGCTCCAGCCAGCAGGTAGGATGTGCCACTTGCTTTCCTTTTTGAGAGTCAAAGGCAACGCAGAAGAATTGATCCAATAGAACAACAGGCTGCCAAGTTCTCACGGCAGTCAGACCTGTGTATTTCTTATCGCGCATGCCTGCTATGCGGCAGAGTGCTGGAGATTTCTAGTTCATGGTAGCTCAGTGATTCACACCACCCCTCCAGTGTGTTGGTGCTTGTTTGGAGTATGTCCCTCTGCTTCCCGGGTTGTTTCAACTGTCAGGCCAGGATGACTTCACATTTTCCCTGAGCTGAGTGTCCGTTATGTGAGGGGCGTGGCAGGAGCATAGATCATTCAGGTTGTCAAATTACTTCCCTCTCGAGCTTGATGTCTGCCAGCATTTTGCAAAGGTTATGGTTATGTACACGCTGAAGGTCTTTTCAGGCTGGAACAAAACATAGTCAATGTAGGATCATTCTCGAGCTTGACGTTGTGTGAGCATCTTCCAGTGCTTTATTTTGGTGCAATATTAATATCGTACCTTTCTGTCATTTAACAGTTGAGCACACACCCCTAACTGCAGAGAAAGCAGCTGAAGTTGGCATTCGTATGGCTGGTTCCTGCTTAGCACATCGTCGCATGCTTCAGCTTCTTCCTGCAATATAACAAAATTGGCGCAACATCGCTGGTCGCAAAATGAGCAGCACAGGAAGTTTGTCGAGTGTTTAGACAAATTGCACTCTTCAGTAGAAACCTGCACGTTTGAGCAGGTTGTTGCGGCTCAGTCAGCTTGGACATTTGCCTCAACATCAGCACCTGTGAAGTGGCAAGCATGCATCTTCTTTTCTGCCACTCATCCAGTCTCTTCAGCAAAGGTTGCTTGCGTCGGTGCAGAAAACAAAAGTTTAGGCAGAGTTCCCGCTGATGCTTTTATCTTACCCTCGGCAAGTGCTCTGCTTTGAATGGCAGCGGTTTTTCGCGCAAGGAAGTGACTCAGCTGTTGTAAATTCCCTACAGGCATCCTGCTCAGAGGCAGAGTTTGCTGGTCAACTAGAACTCCAGGATCATCATTTTGAGGGTTGAGCATGTGAGGGTTGAACATGTGTTAGAAAGAGTATGCTGGTTGGCTAGTTGTTGAGGAACTCTCGGTCCTGTCATTTGCAGGGCCAACTTCTGGCGGCAGCAATAAGGGAAGCAACATTGACATCTGTGCACGGCTTCTGGGCAAAGTCAACCAGTGGGACGAAGAGGGAGCGCTTAAGCTGTCAGCTGCGGAGTTTGGAGAGAAGCTGCTAGCGAGTTCTGGCCCCCTTCCTGCATCGCCACAATTGTACGACCTCATGAAGGATGAAGATGAGCGTTTGGGCGACATGCTCAAGCTCGAAGGCGATTGCCACCTTGTCCGGAACATTTCCGGTCTGCTGGATAAGGCCGAACCCACTGCAGGCAAGTTCTGTGCTGTCCTGGTCTCACTTTATATCGTCTCTGGTTGTTCTAAAATTGCGCGGCTAGCAAGTCGGAAGCTGAGGTGTTCACTACCTGAGCTGCAACATCCTGAGCTTTACGGGTCCTACAAAGAAGCTTGTGCTGCATGAGTTTTTGAAGCATTCTATCATCGCCTGCTGAGCGTTTGTTGGGCTGCTGCCTTGCCTGCTCCAGGGCAGAAAGAGAAAGCAACCTCGTTCAATGTGATGCGGTTTCTGAGCGTGCTTCGGCGTTTGGCGGAGTATGCTCCAGACACATCTGAAACTCCGATTAGAACCTTTCTGGGACCGAGCTGAGAGACGCGTGTCCCGATCAGTCACGCAGGTATGTTTGATCATTTTTAAAATTATGGTTTCACGATCTTGGCAGGGTTGTTCATGCGATTGTATGCCTACAGGATTTGTTGAGGAGGACACCAAGCTCTAGAGGTTTAGGTTGCTTTGAAGGAGTATTGATCTGGTCTGTCTGATTTTGTTACCTTTTGGGTTGCTTTGAAGGAGTATTGTTCTGGTCTGCCAGATTCAAATGTGTCCGATTATGTTACCTGTTTCTCAAAAGTGAGTGGTTAGTGTTGGCTGACAGATTGCCTGCTGCGCATGCAGTCGCAAGGGACACCCGTGCGACCAGACACTCATCTCGTCGCGGAGAAGCTGTCCCTGTTTTTCGGGGAGGACAAGGTAGAGGACGACGAGCTCAAAGACGTCTGGGACGACCATGTGAGGAAACTCAAAGGCGGCCTGAACCATGTCGCGTATGGCAGGGTGCCTTTTGTCCCGGTGTATGCTGCTGCGGGCAACCTCCTACAGTTCGGAAGGCTGTGTTCGGACGGGCAGGTTGGTATCAGTCTCAAGCCGTCAGGCCTCTCTTTTCAACTCATGCCAGCGGGACATTCCATCTTCTTCACTGGTCTTAATGTTAATCCTGCGGACCATCAAGGGAGTGCGTAAAACCGCCTTCAATTTTCGTACTGCCCACCTTGTCTGGATTGTCTAGATTACATGAGCAGGAACTCTATGTCAGGTTGGCCTCACCAGGAGAAAGGATACTGTTCTTCATTCCTTCTTGAGAGACTGTCTTTCTGCATCCGTCAACAGAGGGGTCTTCTCTCAATAACACTTTTCAAAAGGCACACGTTTCAAAAAGCAGGAAGAACAGTCAGTCTTCATTCAAAGTTTGCAACGAATAACCCCCTAAGACCTTCTGTTCACAGTGTGTTATCAATCACAGGTAGAGCGCGCTGGTCGGGTGTACGACTGGACTCCCAAAGAGACCGCATCGCGATCGTGACTGCTCTGGTCAATGTGTACAAGCTGTTTGCCGCCCTCATCAAATTGGCCCCGAAAGAACATGAGCGCTTTTCCATCTTCGAAAGCATCCCCCGACCGAATGGAACGACAATCCTGATCTGCCCTGCGACTGTTGAGAAAACGATTACGAACAGCGAGGCCTTTTTTGAGAGCATCGGCAACGACTGCGAGACGGTCAAGGTGAGGTGTTTGGCTGACAAGCTGTCAGCCAATATGCAGAGCCAATGAGCATTTAAATCTCGATCTCAATCTTTACAATTTCTGGACTGTATCGGCTCAACTGACCTGTGCACAATTTGCAAATCAACAGTCTGGAAGATCGGTAGGACCGCCCTGCCGGGGCCTTGTCTTTTGGAACCTTTCAGGCATGCTGAAGGCCCATGGTAAAATTGCAAATGAGGGGTGTCATATGCTGCTGACACAAGTCGGCCAGTATTATATGTTAACATATATTCTTTAAGTTGTTTTCGTGCTTTATTGAGCTTTCATGCCTCAGCGAGCTGCATGTCCGAGTCAAGGAGTTTGTGAAATAGCACAAAGGCTTGTATGATCGAGCAGGAAACGAAGAGCACTGACCAGTGCCTTCTCCTCTGGATCCTAGCAGGCGGCCTACGAGCTCACGGATGGACATGCGCACGCAGTCTCGCATCAGAGTATCGGGAACGTCAAGGGTAGAAAACGGTCCAGCACTGACAACCCGCTGTTGACATACAAGGTAATTTTGGACTTGGAGCAGTGTTCCTGCAAGATTGCTTGATGGTTCAGAGCTTTGTTCAGGGTGTCCTGATTTTGTATGTTGCGGTGTCTATCATGCTTATTTGGATGACCTTCCATGAAGAATTTTGAAGGGGCCATCCAGGAAAGTCTCGTTGACCTTTGCACTTAGCCCCTGGCAGTGAGCTTCTTCGCTGTGGCTACCACTGTTTTTGGAGCACTGCCTGTCCCTCTGTGCAGGTCACTCTCAGTCGTCTGGGTTATGGCATCAAGGACGTCAATGAGCTGAGCGAAAGCGACCTCAAAAAAGCTGTCCGTGCCATCCTGGAGGTCTGCCGACTGTTTGCTACTGCGAAGCTCGGCCACTGCGATTTCCGGATTTCCAACGTTCTTTGGGACCCGGAACCCTTCGTCATAGACTTCGAGGCTGCGCACAAGCTCCCATGGAAGGTAGGCTTATCTCAAATCGTTCGTTCTGCTGAAGACGTTTGGTGGATCTCTGCTCGCTGTTTGCTTGCTTCTTGCTTGCTTCTTGCCCTCATCTCTTTTCTGCTGAAAAGGTCTGGCTTTGTTGTGAAGTACTTGCACTTTTTGAGCTGGCCACTTTGTGAGCTTACCACGAAAGACCTCTGAAAGCCCCAGATTGGAGCGCGGAGTGCGCACTCACCTTTAAAAGATTGTGGGTCTAAGTTGAGAGTCTCCATCGTGGAGTCTTTGTCTACGCAAATATGCAGTAACCCCCGCTGCTGTCGCAGGTGCCAAACGGGTTCCAGCACTTCACGGATTGGGACGCCGGGACGCTGTCGAGATCAGGGCAGTACACAGCCAAGAGCGACGTCTACCAAGTAGGCATAATCATGGAAAAGTACAAGGACTTGTCGGCAGAGGGCAGGAGATTTGCAGCCACTCTTAAAAGCAAAAAGGTAGAGGCAGAAGTTGCTTTGAAAGACCCCTACTTTGCTTGAAAGTACAAAGCCGCTTCTCATTTAAAGTCGTAGGATGGGCGCTGGCAAAGCACGCACAAATCGGCAGCAGATTGGGATGCACACCTGTGGTTGTCAGACCTTTGTGTCTTTAGGAAAGTTTTTGATGATAATTCTTGTCGTACATATGATAGAGAGGAAACAACATTCTCGGTTTCTCAAATTCGCGATCTTGTCTCATCACGTTGCAGCCGTCTGAGGGTCGCTCCTTCAAATATGCGTTTGCGCTCTAAAATGGATTGGCATGGTCGCATGCAGTTAATCTGCACCAAACGTTCTATACATTGAAGTTCATAAGTTTGTGCAAATCGTCTAAGGTTCTTTCCAGCACCCACAATGGCGCCAACGAATCGCTCAGCATCGTCGCAAAGGGCCGGGGTACCTATTACAGCGTGTAAGCTGCAATCGGTTGGCAATCATGGTTGCATATGTGCAGTATAGTTGTGATCTAGCCTAGAGTGCGGACTCCTGCACGCACATTTACTATGCTGATTATTTTGCCCATCCGCCGACTCCGCATATGCAATAGCGAGTTCGCTGATGCCTATATAGCCAGAAGGTCCATCAGCGAGCCAACCGCTGTGATTGTTGGCATAAAATGGAATTCAACCACAGTGCGTCACGTGTCCCCCCACCCGGCCAGAACAGCTACCGGGATGGTCATCCTGCAGCCAAGTTGCCCCTCCCCAGTGGGCTGGGTATAAGACTTTGGGGTTAGTGACCGCCGCCCGTGTACGTACAACTTCGAACCCTAATAGACTTAGTAAAACCACCATTCTAGTCACGTGACATGCCAGCTGAACCCTCATCCCGGCTTATCATGTGCAGTCCAGGTTATACACTTGAGGCTCGGCATTATAAGTGAGGCAGTGCCGTCTTTGGAAATATTCTGATTGCGAGGGTGACAAGTCCAGTCGCCTAACATTGGCCCCTATCCGCCATGGAGACCTGGCTAAGAGCATGCGCCTATTGGCATTCATTGCTAATTCCACCAAATGCAGTGGGCTCGCAAATACCGGGCTCAATAATCTAATCCCCAAGTGAAACCAATTCTATCAATCGTCATCAACCTAAATCGCGAAAAGCCATCAGGCGGACATGATGTCAATAGCAGCTCCCAAGGGCCATGCCGCTTCCACCTGCCGCCCATGGTACTTGATTGTCTTGACGAGCGTAATTGATCGGTCTCCCTCGATGTCTGCGAGGAGCACGATTGAATCTGTCAGACGAAACTGCGTTCGGCAGGACCCTTTGTACTAGAGACGTCCATCTGAAAGCTGAACAATCAAACGTCCATCGAGCAGCCGTCAACCTAGATGGTCTGTAACGGCACTTCATGCAACCTAAGCATGAAGCGAAACTTTGGTTTCGCTCAGGCGAAGACCTGGCAGCCAGGTTATAAGCACTTTAAAATGGATAGGAAAGGTATGTTTTCGAAACTTACCAAACCCTTTGTTGAGCAGCGTCGCTTGATAAGCAATATCCAAGCAAGCGAATGGAGCGTCCGTTTCGGAAACGTGTTTGTACTTGGCCGCAATCTCGGGAAGTGTCAGTTTGCAAATGGCCTCCGCAGCCTTCCCAAAATCGGACGGCTTAATGACGGCCACGTCCGCAGCGCTCTCTGGAATGATGCCGAGCTGCAGAAACGAAAGCCACAGCGTGAGACGACAAGTTGCCGTGTTGATGCCCACACTTTCAATCATTTGGCTAAAATCCGTCAAAGACCATGTCGGAGGGCCTCGTCCAAAGAAGCTGCGAAACGTGTTGCGACGGTCAGGGAGGTGAAGATTGGCCAACCCCGAATCCGTATCGCAGAAACGACTTTCTTGAGTTGTACGAAGCCCTCACCAGTCTGCGCGCGGTCTCCGGACTTGCTATTGCTGGTCGGAAACGCAAACGCAGCGATCAAAACAAAAAGAGGCGTTTGCAGCTTCTAATTGTCTCCCGCTACACTTCGCGTTTTGTGACAATCTGCACGCACTGTGCCACGTCAACTAAGTCCGGTGATCAAAGGATGCAGAGCGCGCTTGCCCCAAGAGGTGACATTTGAAACCATCACCTGCTGCGCCTGATAACACGAGTACCACGCGCAGCGCAAAATTTTCGTTTGCCGTAACGGCCCTCGGCGTCCGGGAGAAAACCCTCATACCGTCATCTGTGCCAACGCCTCACGCAGAAGTATCACCGAGAGGACAACCCTTACCTGCTGCGCCCGGTCAAAGAAGTAAGACGCAATATAAAGCTTGTGCGTGCCGTCCCCACCGCCCCCGTGCCACACCCCGTTGAACGAGCACTTGTCCACGTCGCACGGCGCGTCCAGCTTGAGCGATGCGAGCGCCGACGTGGAGCACTCGTCGTACGACCCGCCCAGCACACGCGCGACTGCGTCAAACGTCTTACCGCCGTACTCGTACGAGCCTGCATTCGACGGTGTATGATTTTAGGGTCCTAGAAAGCGATGGATTTGGACCGCAAAGGATGTCCCTCTCTCTCAAGAAACAATGGTCAGGAACCCTTACGCTGGTGTTGACGACCAATCTTGGGGATCCACTCTAGCACCAAGCTGGCTGAGGTAGTTTTACCAAGGACGAGGGAAGGTTTACTCCACCCGATGTTGCTCGCTCAAAGCATAGAATCAACACTTGCGCAATCTGTGCCTTGCCCGATAAGGTGCGTGGACCAGAACAACATTCAGTACTTGCTGATATCGAGAAGTATCGATCAGATCGGTTGGGGTATACACTTCGAACGAGGAATTGAGTGCCCCACCTGTGTAACCCTTCGGCAGGCATGCGTGCCCCTCTTGCGAGATCTGTGCTGATAGCACCGCAGCGCGTGCCGCCATTAGACCGTAGCCCAAGTAACTGCAGCACAGAAGCAGCACCGCAAATCAGATTGGGAACTCTTGACTCCCTAAACGACTGATCAATACAAAGAAGCGTTGATCCGAACCAGGTTCAACATAACCTGGTTTCAGTGAGCTGATGTACAGAGACTCGAGGTCAATACACGAGCTTTCAAAATTGTAGAAAGTCATGAAGAGAGGGGTAGAGTGTTCACGGGTGGATCGAGTAAAGGCAACTCCACCTCCAACAGGACAAGAACGTGTTACGTAACGAAATGAGCCGTTCGACTGGTGTACAAGGAGTGTGAGGAGCGCCTTCGAACTTGTCGCTTCAAAAAATCTGAGCCTCAGGCATTTAAAGTCAACTCCACGTTCGAAAATACTTGAGTACTTCGACCGTCAAGCCAAAGCTCCCTTCCCGATAGATCGAAGGCCCTTCACCACCTCCTTCCTTGAGACTGAGCAATCAAACCTGCCCTGTGAGAGGTACATGCTCGTGCTCCAAACTGCATACCTGTGCACGTAGACGTTCCACCTCACGCCCTTCCCGTTTACTTCCCGGATGTAGCCAGCAGGTGCGCTCCAAGCAACTTTATCCTCCACGGCATAAGCCATTTGGACCGAGCCGCCCCCCAGGTCGACGATCCCGACCGTGTCCTTAACCAACTTGTCGGTGTTCCCCAGTAAGTGGTTCACAGTCACCTAAGAAAACGAGGTTTAGGAAAGAAGGTTAGTAACGATAAACCGCAGCCGTTTGAGAATATCTTCTGAGCAGAAACGGAGCTAGACTGCAGGCACGGCCTCAAAAAGATGGGATTGGTCGAACATCGGGTGAGACTGTCGAGAAGAGCGCTTCTCACGGGAGCTGGGCCCGTGGGGTGTTCCATGCCGAAAAGCACTTTTGGCGCTTTTGCGTCAATGTGACTTTTAATTCTCCGGTGTCTTAGTACTCGCAACGCTCGAGGTCATTGATAGAGACTCAAAGGTTTGTCCACGAACACAAAAGGTCGCAAGAAATCCCGAAGCTTGTTCGAGCTGCTATCCAGACCCTTCCTCACATGCATCAACAGTCAATGGGCAAATACGTCGGCCTTTGCATTTGGAGCTCACCCACGCAAAGGCGCCTTCGTCAGCACCGTCCATAATAGCGACCGAGTCCTTGGCACACCGGAAGGGGTACTCCTTGAGAACATGCCGAACCTGGGACAAAAGACGAGAACGCTGATACACCAAGTGAAAAAGGCTGGAGATCGCCAGTGTACCTACGAACCTACGGCTCCTGACAGATTTGCGGCAGGTTCAAGAGGACTCTTCGGTCTGGGTTCTTATGTCCTTTGCGAAGACGTGTATGATCAGCAGCTTTGAATCAGCCTGGTGAATTGGAAAGGATTGTTACGGGGTTGCGTCCCGACCCAATGCTCTTGCAAGCTCTTGCCATGTCCGAACTTACACAGAGAGTTACAAGCGAATTATTCCCCCGAAGAGTCCCTGCTTGTGAGACTTCCCCAACTTACATTCCTGCTGCTTTTGTCCGCATAGCCTCAACACATAATCAAATGCACTGTGGCAGCGGGAGCCTCAAAGACAGCTTCGACTCTCGCAGGTGCATCCAGTCGACTCTGATGTGAGCATAAGCAAGAACGAAGATACTTCATAATCTGTGTAAGCAAGAATGGAGGCGCTAGTGATGCTGACCTCTTCAAGCAGTTCCTCAGCAGTAGCTTCGGAAAGCAGACGAAGCCCAGCTGTTGCCTGCACAAGACATGGTGGGAGCCACTTCGAAGAGTTTTCAAGTGGATTGCGAATTGAAACTGCTATGCAATGGCGGTGCTCAGAATCCTGGCCCACGAACCTTGAATGCGTAACATTGTCCACGCTATTCCTAAAGGTCTCCTCTGGTTCTGTATGATATGAAGCATCAGCGGAAAGAACCAATTGCTGCGTGCAGCAGTGAGATACTTTCTCTGATCCAAAAGTGTCGACTCTCTTTAAAGAAGCTTGAAGTGCGGATGACTTTGGAGCTCAAGGAGAGAACTTTCAAGGCTCTGCACGACTCACCGCAACACGCACGGGGGTCTTGCTCTGCAGATCTTTGGGTACAACCGCAAGCGCCTTGGCGAGCAGCGGCCGGATGGACTCCCCAGCCCCCTTGGGGTCATCTTTGTAGGCGCTGAGACCAGGCGTTACCTGATGAGAGGGCCCTGTTATTTCCATGCTTGGAAGCAGTACGTATGTGATCTTGAGCGCAAGTTAACCGCAGACTGATTTACGATGCTCAATTGGTGGTGGTCAAAGAGCGTCATTGCAATGTACTGACTGGGTTTTTGCACAGACTAGTCAGATTTCATCAGAAGCTTTCAAATTTACAAAATGGGTAGAAGCAGGGCTTCCAACTGACCAGCTACCAGCACCTCTGAAGTTACTCAAGAGTCATTTTATGAATCTTGGACATCCAACAGAAAAGAGGCCAGCTTGGCAACACCAATTATGCACCACTTTGTGATAAATTTGTTAGCCCCGGCAGAACTGTCAGCTGCTCAAGCTGCTCAAAATGCCCCCACCTTTTCAAAGAGCTCAAACTCGCCGTTGATCTCCATCAGGTCCATGTGCTCATCAAACCTGTACACGTGTACTCGTGTTCCCGTGCTCCCGGCATCGAATACAACCGCGTACCGCTCCGCCGTCAGCTTGAACTCCTCCTTGGTCTCCTTCACAACCGTCTTACTTTCCCGGTACCCTTCTAGCGGAGCGCTCCGAGGCATCATAAGAAGCACAACCGCAACCAGGAGCAGAGGCACCGAGATCACCAGAAACACCCCCCGTAGTCTGAACATCTTCTCCTTCAGAGACTCTGGCCTCCTCCTCATTGTCGATGGCAGCTGTGGGGCCAAAGGAGTGGCCTCCAGATCCTGAGACGGATCCAGCTGAGAGGAGGAGCCTGCACGGCGGGCGAGCGAGGACGCCCCCCGCTCCAGCCTGGACCCGCTTCTCTACCGAGGGGTTCAAGCTGAATGCTCAATTTAAGCTGGCAAACGAGCAATGCAACTGGCGAATGAACCACCAGAAACACAGAGTCAGCCACTGGACCCTGACAACTCAAATCCAGACGTGCAAAGGCTCTATACCACGTAGGGTCTAGAAATTCTCTGTCCCCTGCTGACACCTTTGAATGAGCTGACTGGTTGAGCTTGTTCGGAGTGCGGTCTCCAACGGACTCCCGCCAAAGACAGATTTTGCCTATGACGGCTGATCCCAAGCGTGGCAATGAGCGCACAGGCCTTTGGAGCTCCAATGAAGGGTTTGCGAGAGCGATACATCCACATTCGGACTGCAGCCCGCCTCCCAGCAGGAAGATCGTATGGCTTGAGCTGTGCCTCAGCGTGACTGAACCAGCGACTTACCAGGATCTAACAGAAAGCAGCACCAGATGGGATGCCACAACAAACTCTATCAAGCTCCGGCGCTGTGCAGACCTACAATGCAACAGCACATCTTCTCAACGCAGGCCAATGTGTGCTTCCGAACCCAGTGCTTCTTGGAGCGCCCTACAGCAAGTGTCCCATCTTTTTGATTAATGACGATCAATGACAATCAGGTTGACCAAAGATCTGGACAGACTGAGAGAGGAGCATGAGCACGAGGAAACCGCTTGCACCAGGACTAAGTGTGAACGGCCGCTTGGTCCCTTGCCGGAGTGAGCAACCTCAAGCAACAGCAAGGAACGCCGAGCCCGTAGGAGGTATCCGGGCAGCCAAAAAATGCTATTATCATTCCCCTTTGTGACCGGCTCACAGAGAACCGGGTGTATCAAAGCTTCCCCTTTGCCGTACCGCCATAGAAACCGGCAAAGGAAGGCATGTTCCCACCTGGAGCCTGGCAGGCAGGCAGCAGGCGGCAGGATCTATTGAAGCCCAGCTCGTAGTGTCGGAAGCTGTGGCAGGAACTTTTTGCAGCCCTTGTTGCACCTTGTTGGCGCAAAGGTTATCTCCCTTGCGAGTGGACTCCATTTTCTTGAAGGACTGCATTGAAAAGTACCGCGGCTCTCGAGCAGGAGGTTAGCTTGTGGTGCTCGTTTCGCCGTTGTAGGAAACCTCAGTGCCAGATGGCGAGTCGCGCCGCTGCGGCTGCCAGGGTGCAGATCCCAGTGAATGGCATCGTATCCAAGGAAGTGCAGCAACAGCATTTCGTTGCTCAGCAGATTGGTGCGCCAGTGGGTTTCTTTGAAAGAGGGCCAGCAAAGTCTGAACGGCGAGTCAGCAACCGCGAGGCGCTTGCCCGGCATCTTAGCTCGTCCTCTGCAAACCCGCTTGCAGATGTCAGGAACAGGGTCTTCATTCGTTGTCCACACAGAGGGCGCCAGCTAGCCCGTGCAGAGGCCAGCGGTAACGGCGCAGCGCAAACGACCAGGCGGCCCGAGTATATTCCAAACCGGATAGATGACCCTAACTATGTCCGCATCTTCGACACCACACTGCGGGATGGCGAGCAGTCCCCAGGGGCCACGATGACCAGCAAGGAGAAACTAGACGTCGCTAGACAACTCGCACGCCTCGGGGTGGACATCATCGAGGCTGGCTTCCCTCGGGCGTCCCCCGACGATCTCGAGGCCGTTCGCAGCATCGCAAAGGAGGTGGGGAATGCAGTGGACGAGACGGGGTACGTTCCAGTGATCTGCGGCCTCGCGCGGTGTAACAAGCAGGACATTGACGCGGCATGGGAGGGCGTGCGGCACGCAAAGCGCCCCCGGATACACGTCTTCATTGCCACGAGCGAGATCCACCTGGAGTATAAGCTGAAGAAGACGCGCGACGAGGTTGTGCAGATTGCGCGGGAGATGGTGGGGTACTGCAAGTCCCTGGGGTGCAATGACATTGAGTTCAGCCCGGAGGATGCAGGGAGGTGAGGGGCCAGGCCAATTAATGGGCTAACTTAACGATTGATCTTTGTAGAGTGGTTTTCCCCAGCCGAGTTTTCTGTAGAGACAAGAGATTTGGAATTTTGTCTCAGTATCAAACTGTGTGCCTGCTCCTTTCTGATTCCATCTTTTGATGAATCATCAAATCAAATGGCAGGTTTACTCCGAAGTCCTCGCATAGACGGAGATCGTGCAATAAATGGCAGTTCTTGCAGTGAAAAGCTATTTTTGATCTGAATCAGGTGATAATCCACTTTTTTAAACTTATATCAAAAGATTTCACATAGTACTTCCCCTTCTCGAGTGCTATGTGCGGCCACTTTGAAAGCCAAAGATAGTGGAGATCATGCAACTAACAGTGTCAGTACTCAGTGTCTATTCTGATTGCTCGCTCCATTCACCATGTTTGCAGCACTCTGCAGTTGCTCAAGAAAATGAATTTCTCAAAGGATTCTCTCTCATTACATGCGACCCTAAGTCATCTGTTTACAACTGGTCATTGGCATGCTCTTCTGTTCACATAAACGCTCTTTTTCTTCCAGGTCCGACCCTGACTATGTCTGCCGGGTACTCGGTGAAGTCATCAAGGCTGGCGCCACTACCCTCAACATCCCTGACACTGTTGGTTACACCATCCCCAAGGAGTTTGGCGAGCTCATCGCGTACCTGAGGAAGAACACGGAGGGCGCCGAAAACGTCATCTTCTCCACGCACTGTCAAAACGACCTGGGCCTTGCTACAGGAAACACCCTGGCGGTGAGTGCTGCTGAATTCACCTTTCTGGCGCTTGGTGTTTTTCAGATGCAAGCCTTCTTGAGGGGGGCAAAGAGGTGATAGTCGAAGCAACAGATCACTTAAGACACGCGGTTATGCTGATGCAAGCAAAGCGGAAGAGCTCTGCTGTTGAAGCCTGTGGTTCAGGGCTTGGTGCTTCTCAGACTCAGTAGTGCGAACTCGCCAGCACCTCTTTTGTGTCCTCCGCGACAATCTCTACACCTTCGACGTCTGCTTGGATATGTTAAGTGCCTGGCAGGTTTTGACTGGTTGTGTGGTTAAGAAAGGCATTGAAACCATTGCAGTAATACTCATAAGGTTGAAATTACTCGACTAAAGTGTGTGATCGGAAGTCAGACTTTGAGGATTGTTTTGGAGGAAGCATCAAACACTTCCAAGCACAGAATTGAGATCGTCAGCAAAACGAAGCTTTCTAAGACCGCTGACGATGAGATGATATGGAGTATATGTTTGAAGTCCTGGCTCCGCTTCCTAGTCGTGCGCGAGTAAAGAAGATTGCATCGCTGCAGGGGGCTGTTGCCGGGGCGAGGCAGCTGGAGGTGACGATCAACGGCATTGGAGAGCGAGCCGGGAACACGTCGCTTGAGGAGGTGCGTCGATCTTGTTCCTGCCGAAGGTGTTCATTCCTTGAGGTCTGCTAGTAAGGGGTTTGCACCAGCATTCAGCGGGTTCAGCCACTGCTCACAGTTGCGCCCAGTTGAAAGACTTACTACTCCTTCTCATGTTGCAGACTGCACAGGTTTGGCTCTGGCAACGTTGGTTTGTCCTTGAAACGTCCGGAATCAGGAGGTTGCTCAAGAGGTCTCTTTCCCCTGGGTTATCGAAAGAGCTCTAAGGAGACTGCAACAGGCCATTCGCTTGTCCCTTGAACTTGCAAAACTCTCGTGTTGACTAGTGATGAGCCCCCTACCTCGAACTGCAGCTGTAGTTTTGGCATGGTTTCCCCGCTTTGATTTCGGCAGCTCGTGATTGCGGCGGCTCGGAATCAGCGTATTGGTGGAGATTAGTGAACCCTATAAGCTAGGAAGATTGGTACGAGTTTAAAACATCACAGAACGTATGCTCTGATGCAGGTTGTGATGGCAATCCGGTGCCGAGGAAACAACCTGTTTGATGGGCTGTACACGGGCGTCAACATCAAGCAAATTGCGGTTGCGAGTAGAATGGTGAGGTTTGAGCATGCTGCGTCCGATTTTACATGCTCTCTTCTTCGTCGACGGACCGGATGGTATCGGCGCTTTTTTTTTGCTCGCCTTCGTGTCGTGAGCAATCTTTTCATTTTGATATCAGGACCCCGATCAGCAGGGTACACTTCCATATTATTTCCTGATTGACCCATCTGGTATACAGCCAATGAAGACCGCAGGATACTTATCTCCCTGATGAAAACGCTCACCAAAAACTGGACGTTTTATGATTCCAAACATGTTTTGCGCATCTCAATCTTTCTGTCCCGCGTTTTCCTGATTCATTCAAACCCGCCCGAGTCGTCAAACGGCCGCTCGTTCCCCCAACAGGCCACGGTTGACCCTGGCATCATGGGGCTTCTCCGTTTGTCCGAATGACTGGTTAAAATCCATGCTAACTGCAGCGCTGCTGGGATCGCAGGTCACGGACTAATCGGGATCAGATACTCCTCTATGCGTCCGGGTTGACCGCCTCGGACCACTCCAACCGCTAGGACTGACCCGACCGCAGGTTACGGATTCCACTGGCATCACGGGCCTCCTTCCTTTGTCCGCAATGACCGGTTCAATCCTTGCTGAACGCGAGGACTGCGCCAACCGCAGGCCACGGATCACACGGGGCATCATGATACTCTTTCGTTTGTCCGAATTGACCGATTTATTGCACGCCAACCGCTAGAACTGACCCAACCGCAGGTCACGGACTACACGGGGCATCATGATTCTCTTTCGTTTGTCCGAATTGACTGACTTATTGCACGCCAACCGCTAGAACTGACCCAACTGCAGGTCACGGACTACACGGGCATCATGGTCCAGCCCCACAAGGCGATCGTCGGGGCCAACGCGTTCGCGCATGAGAGCGGCATTCACCAGGACGGCATGCTCAAGAACAAGGGCACGTACGAAATCATGTCGCCAGAGGACATTGGGCTTGTACGGGCGGACGCGGCGGGGCTGGTCATGGGCAAGCACAGCGGGCGGGCGGCGCTCAAGGCGCGACTCCAAAAGGTAGGGTTTCCGTTGGGCTAGAGTTGCGAGGTTGAGCAGAGTTCTGAGACTCAGATTGACTTGGTTAGTATGTTGTTCGAGGGAGACGAGCCGTTGCTGAAGAAAGGATGGGTAAGGGTTGCTGAGTGCTGAGGTTTCTTTGGAAACCGCTCTGAGGTTGCCGCTTGTCAATCAGTTGTTCCATTGTGTCGACACGGTGGTCTTTACGCACCTGTTGCTTTCGTGGGCCACAAATGAATTTGACTTCTCTGATCGGGAGGCATTTTGGGGGTAGTCTGGATTGGGAAGTGAAATACGCGGGACGGTGGTTCTTGCAAGGAAGACTGGTTCCGATAGGTTGCATGGGAGGGACGTTAGAGGGTGGTCGGTAAAAGTCCCCGGCCATCTCTTAATGCAATGTGTGTTTGGTTTGGGTTTGCTTAACCGGACTGATGTTCCGAAGAATGCTGGGCATGATCGCACCACTTATCGGTGTAGATTGACCGAAGGTGAATCGACGATATTCAGTGTTCGAAATCAAGGGCAAAGTATGCCACCTTGGCAGGCGGTAAAGGTTTAGCTAATAGCATCGTTCGTGAAAAAGCTTTTACCGCGAAATTGACATGCCAATACGGTGAGCAACCATTTTCTGTAGCATTTTCGATGTTACAGAGTTTTGTTGAGACGCCGTTGTTGCAGTCCGTTTCCAGATTGAGCAATCTCCTTGGTAACGTCAGGCCTTACTTTGGTAATTCGCCAGGCGGTTTAGTGTCCACTCTTCATCGCTCTGCTTTTCGTCTTTGCAGCTTGGGTACGATAGAAGTGAAACGGTTGGGAGCCAAATGCGCCCGCATTTGTTCTGAAAATCGAATTGGAAGGTTAAGCTGTTTCAAAGGCGCAAAGCGGACTTCGTTATGATAATAAACTGAGGCTTTCTTTGCAGCTTGGTTACGAGCTGGAGCCCAAGGACCTGGAAGACGTGTTCGAGCGTTTCAAGGGGCTCGCGGACAAGAAGAAGGTGAGGATGCCGTCGGCGGCCCCCTTTCGCCGCCAATTTTGCGGCATCGTTATTGCGCCATCCCTGTTTCGGAGATAGACCTTTGGCTTCGTCATCAACTTGCCATCCCTTTATCCGAAGAAAGGCCATTATCAGCGTGCCATTCCTCATTATGGAGAGGGACGAGGGACTTACCAATTGACGTATCGATTTTTAATCACCTCTCCATCTGCGAAATTTCGTGTGCGAAGTTTTCATTTCAGAATTGTTTACTCTTATGCACGTTGACATCGCACATTTGTACTTCCGGCTCCCGCTTGGACGCCTTCGGACGAGCTTTGGACGCCGATTGAACGCCGTTCGGACTTTTTTCCAGTCACCTCGGACTCTTTTCCACTCACTTGGGGCCCTCCTCATCTCCTTCGGGGCCTGTCCCACCTGGTTCGGACGTTCCCTTACCAATTCGGACGTTCTTTTATGTCCTTCGGACGCTCCACGCGAGCAAACCGTTCTGGACGGGACCTGGAGGCGGTCAGTTTGGACGAGGTCTTCCAGCGGACGGAAGTGAACAGATTCCGAATTCTTTGTCACCTGATTTGGACGCTTTCCCACTCACTTCGAAGCTTTTCCACTCAAGCATTCTATCACCAACGGCGATCTGGACAGCCTACGGAAGGCTTTCACTTCAAAGCTTTCATTCCCTGCTTTGGACGTTGCTCAATCCAGTTCGGACGCTTTACTCGTGCAGATATCATGGACGGCGACCTGGAGGCGCTCATTTCGGACGAGGTGTTCAGTCAACGGAAGGCTTACGATACAAACTCTTCGTTCCCTGGCTCGGACGTTGCTTAATTCTTTTCGGACGCTCCACTCGTGCAGACCATCATAGACAGCGACCTGGAGGCGCTCATTTCGGACGAGGTATTCCAGCCGACGGACGTGTGCAGATTTGAACTTCCTCTTAACTGATTCGGACGTTTCTAACACCCATTCGGACGCTCCGTTCGTGCAGACCATCACGGACGGCGACCTGGAAGCGCTCATTTCGGACGAGGTGTTCCAGCCGACGCACGTGTACAGACTTCGAAGTCTGCATCACCTATTTTGGACGCTTCTAATCCACCTGGGGACGCTCCACTCGTGCAGACGATCACGGACGGCGACCTGGAGGCGCTCTTTTCGGACGAGGTGTTCCAACTAACGGACGTACACTTTTTGAAGTTACTAACACCTGATTCGGACATTTCTAAAGGCATTCGGACGCTTCGCTCGTGCAGACCATCACGGACGGCGACCTGGAGGCGCTCATTTCGGACGAGGTGTTCCAGCCGACGCACGTGTACAGCCTGGTTGACCTGCAAGTCGTCACCGGTACCATGGGCCTCCCGACCGCAACCCTCAAAATGAGCGGCCCGGGGGGGCAGATGCACATCGGCTCCGCGGTTGGGTCGGGCCCGGTCGACGCGTCGTACAAGGCCGTGGACTCGATCGTCAAGGTGAGGGGTCAAAGATTGATCCGGTTTTGAGTGGACTCGATCGTCAAGGTGAGGCTTGAAATTTTCATGAGGCCCTTAAGGAATCGGCAAGTTGAGGGACCGTGAACTTGAGGCACTTGGGAGAGCATTGAGAGATGTTGCAGCAGTCGATGGGAAATTGTGGCGTACCTGGCCGCAGACCAGCTGTTTACCTTATGCGTGCTGGCAGTCAGCTTCTGATCCATACTTTTCCGTTCCGTTGCAGATTCCGGTCGAGCTGGTCGAGTACTCGGTGAACGCAGTGTCGGAAGGGATTGATTCCGTCGCGACCACGCGGGTCGTCATCCGGAGCGAGAACGAAGCAGGGAGCAGCCAGATTCACTCGCAAACGGGAGCGGAAGTCCACCGGTCATTCAGGTTGGTTTCGCGAATGCTGCGCCTGATTTTGACGTTGAACCCAGTGGCTGCGCTGCTTACGAGAGTTACTGGCTGTCTGGCCTGTAGAAGCGCTTCGGTTTTGTCAGACTGAAAGGAGCCCCAGGTTGCAATCTTTTTCTTCCATCGAGGAACCGGTGCTGGTCCGTCTTTGCAAAAGGGCCTTCTCTTGTGGATGCGGAGCTGTGAGTCCTTTACAAAGCGATCGCAGAATTCGAGCCTCTTCTGACGTCAATCCTCAGCGGCCCTTCTGAAGGCCAGTCTTCTGCGGTTTGCACATTGCCATGTCTCTTCTACTTCGTTGCTAGAGATTCATCTGGAGAGGCAGAAAACCCAGTGCTTGCAAATTGATTGCTTACGAGTGTTTGCCATTCCTCTCTTGCAGTGGAAACGGGGCTAGCGAGGACATTGTAGTGTCGAGTGTCCGTGCATATATAAGTGCACTGAACAAGCTGATTGGGTTCGGTTACGAGTCTGCACCCCGGGAAAAACAGGCTGCACAGAAGGTCGTCGCCTCTTGACCTAGCGATTAGAAAGTTGATCTGTTGGTCCGTCAGAGACCGTAATTATAAAGGACATGGGATTCAATGCTATCCTCCTCGGCCACGAATTGGTTGCTCGTAGTCCGTTTGTCGATATTCTCTTAGCCGACGCTACACATATACTTTCTCTGCATATTTCCGGAAATTTGCGGGTGGCGGACTCTCTTCATATTGCATTGAAATCTTGCGACGTGGTGGAGGCCAACCGTCCGTCACCATTTAATCAAGCCAGTGATATTTACTGCACATGGCGGCGCACACAATAGGGAGCACCAGTGTCGTGCGGCCAGAGTAATCTAGCTAGTAGCATATTTTCCCAAGCACACGTATTGTGTTCCTACCTTTGCTCAGTGCAGTGCACCTGCATGCAGCCCGCCAACCACGCATGGCCGCTACTGAGCCACGGGAGACGTCTCTGTTGAAAGATGTATACTAAGCCGCCAGCTTATACTCGCTCCGCATGAAGCGCGCGCCGATAATAACCACGTACTATAACGTAAAATAGATCCTGGCGACGGTGTGCCTTCATGCTAGCTCGTGCTGCGCACCACATGTCTCAGCACATCCGCCGGGGATGGAGCTTTTGATAATTGCAACATCAAGTGTCACAATTTCGGGTAACTGTTGGAATTCGTCATACTTATAGTAAGGCACATGCAGCATGCACATGTGCACTGCATGTGAGATTCAGGTAAAGTAAGTCGGTACACGCCTCGATCACTGTGGCTCTGAACCGCGTTTCACCTTCGTCTTTACTTGAGCCTGAAGCTCGTGCAATTTGCGAAGGCGTGTCGGGCCTTCCGAAGACCGTCTTATGCATGGCCGTGAGTCTGTACTAGTGGTTGAATCGATCATGGCTCACGAACTCCAAGAAATGTCGTCAGATGAATGACCACCTTCCACCGATCTAGAGGGTAATCATTAGATTGCAATACAGCGGGCCTTGTGTTTTGTAGTCTTTTAAGTGGCCTAGCTCCGTACCCATTGTTATCCGGACCGAACATTCACGAACTCTGCTATTTCGAACCAAATGTTGCTAAACGAGATATGCTTCCAGCTGAATAATGCTACTTTGAATAAGCTTTCTGCTCGCAGCCCGGCTTGAAGTTCCCCCACCTCATTCTTCTCGAAGACTGGAATCAGGACGAAGACGTTTGACCATGTTGGTCGTTTGGAGGCACTCTTTTGCAACCTGTTTCACAGTGGGACTGCTCTCCCTCGTAACGAATCTGGTCCACAGCCTGCCCCTCAGTCTGGCCCGTCGCTTACGAGCTTTCGGAGAGGTCGTATGTCTGAACGGGCAAGCTGAGCACAGACTTCCCGGTAGTCGGGGCCGTCCTCGCAACTCTCTGAGATGGTCCTGCCATCCATACGCCAGAGTGAGTTTTACGGAGTCCAACTCTTTCAGCAAGGCAATGTTCTTCAGCATCTCTGCTCGGTCTTCAGGAGACTCGACAGCGTCGGCGTCCCTGCAACAACAAATGCCTTGAGAACATCAATGCAAAAGACCAAGTCGCACATTGTGGAAGGCAGAAGCGAGAAGCAAGGACGGGGAGAGTTACAGACGAATTAAGCAGCTGCACTTTCACAACCCGAGATTCTGATTCATTTGAGAGTATCCTTTTCTCGGGGAAGAGAACTCAACAGAACCGGAAAAGTTGAAAACAAAAGGTGACTTCGCTACCAACCGACACTTTCCGTCTGCATCAGTGTCCACATCAGATTTAGTTGTAGCAGGGGCGATAGCCACGCCAAAGCTCACCAGTAATCCGCAGGTTGAAAGAAGCTGACAATCTTTAGGGCCTCTCGGGCTTGTGGGAACCCTTCCCGCAACAAGACATTTCTTATCGTACGCTGCAAGGCGACGTGTTGAGGTTAACGAGCTCTTTCAGCAAGCATCTCGAGTATGCGACAATCACCTGACAACGCAAAAATAAATATTCGCACAGGCAGAGGCGATAAATATTGCCCACTTTTCAGGAGCATGTCAATAGACGTGCAATAATGCGCTCAAACCTCTCGTACAAAGATCCACAATTGCAAAGTATTGTTCAAACGAGACCCAGTGCGTCTCCAAAATTCGCACGATCCCCCATCTTTTCTGCTTCTAGAGTAAGCTGATCATACTGAAACTGGAGTTGTGCACACCGGGAGGAGATTGGAGTGTGTCTAAGGCCTGGTGGCAGCTTCTCTGCAGCCTGAAAGAGGGATAACATAATAAGGCCATCCGGCAGGTAGGCTGTTTCAAATGCAGAATATAGGCGGTATATTTCGAGACTTTTGCAGTCGACTTTATGAAGCCAATCCTTCAGGACTCAAAAGATGTTACCCGTATGTCAAGTGATGTCAGATGTGGAATTCAAGGCTCCAGACGAGTAGAAAGCAGACGGGGTGTGTTGTAAGCGGTTATGCGACTACTTTTCGTTTACCTGTGGGGTCAAAAGACTCGACCCCAGGCTGACTCGAGGGAGCACCCTTGCGATTTGCGACGTGCTTGTTGGAGCATCAAGGGGGACCGAATCCGGCGGCACTTTTGCTACTGTCTTCACCCATCCTGTCCTCCTCAAAGCCGATGATGAGAGCCCCAGTACTCGCAACATGTTGCTTTGCTATGATATAAAAGGAGTCTGCAGACTCTCAATATATCTCCTCTCTGGTTGCAGTCTCATCAGACGTAGCGATCGGACCATTATAGTCTCAGCCGCTGGTAACTTTCTAGAGGGCGGACAGAAACCAAAAGGCATCCGTGACGTACCATAAGGTTTCTAACAAAGTTACAGATTGACGCTCTTCGCTTCTGCAACTGCCAAAAGCTGGTAGCTAGAGCGCCAAAGCTCTTCGTTGGCGTTGCATCCGCGATCCGCCATGGTTAGGTCGCGCTTGAGGTTTTAGGGAGGCAGCCGCGTGGCAGCCGAGGGTTTGGGCGCTGCGGAGCAGATCATTTAACCCTCGCGCGTCATGACGTCTATAACTTACACTGGTGCGCCCTATTTCGGATGATTTTGATTCCGGACGAGCAATGTTCGATCCGATTTTCGGACGGGTAAAACCAGGGTTTCACTCAGTGAAACCCCGGTTTTACCCGGCTTTCAGAAATCGGATCGAACATTGCCTGTCCGGAATCAAAATCATCCGAAATAGCCGGGCGCACCAGTCTTACGCGCTTTTCGACCCGACCGTGGCCGGGCGCGTCCGCGTCCAATCATGCATGCACTTCTACTCTTCTTCGGCCTCGGTTGTCATCGACATCACTATGGCACCTCAAAAGCATTCTGAACTCACTCGGGTGACTTTATTTTACCGCTCAACTTCGCGCAACTTCGCCGTGAGATTTAAGCTTAGCAGTCTGCTGGAATCTCAGCTCCAATCGTGATTGATTGTGATTGTTAGCAGCACCTGGCCTGGAGCTGGTCGCTAGTCTCAAGCAAGGGCCCAGGGACGCAGCCGATCCTTACAATAGGTCAGTCTCGCTTCTGCTGCAGGTTTGACGTGCAATTGCAGCTTAATCTCAAAGTAAATAATCACAACAGAGGCTGTTCGCAGACGTACTGGAAGTCATAAGCGCGGCCAATGTTGTGAGAAAAGAGGAAGAAAAGACTGCGGCTGAGGTGCGCCGGCTCTAGAGCAAGCCAAAAATGACGGATGATCAGCCAAACGGCAGGGATGGTGTGGGCTCACAGGAAAAGGAAGAAATGGAAACGGAGTCCAGCGTCAGTGCCTGCGCTTCGTTGAATTCGAAGAAGAGTCTTTGCTTGATTTGTCGCCATTTGTTGTGTGGGAGCCGACTCTGGGTTGACCGCCGTCTGCAGTATCGTGACATCCAGGGTGCATCTGATTGCGATTTATGCCACAGCTATGCTTTGAGTTTCTCATGAATATGCAGTGTTTGAATTGATTGAACGAAGCACTCACCTTCAGCGGCTTGCTTGTGCAGTCTGATTTCAATATGGCAATTCATCTGCTCCGCAAGAAGATTGGTAATTCTAGCAGCAAGGGCTGATTAGCTACTTGTTTGGCAACGAAGATTCTTAGCTTCTGATTGTGCAGGTATACATGGCTTGCATCTTGCAAGGTCACCGGTGAGCACCAAAGCGTACTCAAGCTATTCTTACGTCCTTCTTACTAAATCTTCCTCAAGTAAACTGACTCTTAGAAAACGTCTTATCCTGGCAAGTCGCTGGCTGTAAGATACGGCGAAAGTTCATTTCTTTCTGCATAAGAATCCAGGCCGCTCCAAATCAAGTTCCTTGCTGAACCTCACAGACTTGGGATCGCGTACTACGACAACTCCACCGGTGGAATGCACGTTACTGAGACCTGGGATTCGACCGAGGGCTCCGGTGACGAGTATCCTTACATTCAGCTCTGTGAGTACACTTTCTGATCGGAAATAAAGTCTTCGTATTGGCAGCCGTTTTCGAGGAAGATGTAAGATGAAGTATCGGACAAGAGTTGAAGAGCGCTTTGAGTTTCTGGAACGCAAGTCTCGTAGCCAACCTCAGGGTGGTCTGTAGGAGCCTTGTTCAGCATCTTCAAGCGGAAGAAGATACTTCATGAAGTCCTTGATGTCTGTTCCTCGTACAGTGAAGTACCAGACCTTGCCGGCATTGATCTACACATCAACGAAGATGGACGATGCGTTCGTACGCGCTCTGCAGAAGAAAGTTAAGGCCTCCTCAAAGTACATCTGTCCTGTTCAAGCTTCACGTCTGCTCGTTTTAAATACCTCGCAATTATCTTTGCTTCCTCAGATAGTCGCTCATGCATCATCATTTCACTCACAAACACAGTTTTTGTACCTACAGTGATGGAAGACGGCCGCGACTTCCAAGTCAAAATCGTGAAAAACTCAGCCTTCAGCTATGAACAAGCAAAGCACAGGTAAGGAAGCGAGACTGCAAGACTTACAGGCCTCTGTGAAGATTGGGGTCAAGGTTATAGCATGGTAAATTATGTAACGGTATGCAACCAGGCGGACGGTAGCAATGTCCGTACAAGCTGACTTACAAAAAATTTTCATGCTACGTGTTTAGAAGGAGGCGAACATTTCGAAATGAGCGGGGCCTTATTGCAAAGGTTTTGCCATTTTGCAGGCTGAGTTTTCTGCACGTCAGAGGCATGCCTGAAGGTGCGGATGCCAAAGAGAGGGTACACATGGTGAGCTGGATGACCTCAAGGCACACGTTGCATGCCAGAACAGCACTACAGGGCTCCAAGTATTCGGTCTGGAATGTGCTTCTGCTCTGTTAGTCCGCGGCTAGAACTCGTAAGGAGCTAACGAGAGAATTACTTTTTGCGTGCCTTCTCCACTACTAACTGGATATCATGTCATGCTGCAGCTCAACTCTATGATGAACCTTGAGAGCGACATGCAAGTGCGAGCAGCTGGCGCCCTCGTCGCCATATTGCAAGAGGAGATGATCCTTGATAGTCTGGACGAAGATACTGGCGTCGACAGTCGCGTCACGCTTGGCAGCATCACAGAGATCTCGCTGTATCCTCTTGTGCTCTGTGTTGTTGAATCAAGCCTCGAAGTGTTGGACCAGTATTTTTTCTGCTGAAAGCTCCTATCCCAGCTCTCTGAACCTCCTTGACTGGGTCTGGCTATCTCAGTGACGGTTACCTCACGCTCGACGCGGCAACACATGACGCTCTTCAGATCTTTCAAGAAGATAGGCATCCAAGTTCCATGGGCATTGGAAAAGCTAAGGAAGGGTGAGCGGCTGAATTTCAGGACTCCTTGGTGCACCAGTTCCTTAATGTCCACCTGCATCCTTATAAAGTTGACGCCTGTCAGCAAGATTACAATCATGACTGTCCTTGTGCAACTTCTTTTGGTTTTACATGAGCATCAACGAGGCAATTTGGTGGGCACGCCAAGGTCGATTAACTTCTCAGCTCCTGGCCGTGCTGATGCAGATTTTCGGTCTTCGGCATGTTAAACAAGGTGGGCCTTTTCGCAGCTATGTAACATGCTGATCAATTACGTTAAGTCCGCACTGACCTAGTGCTTAAGCTTCTACATAGATTCGAGACTCCAGCTGCGAATATGTATGGCCTTCGAAAAGCTACTTGACTTTGATCCGGACAAAGAAATAAAACTCCCAGCGCTTTGCAACCAGACTAAGACGGGAGACCTTACGACTGTTTGACCTGGTTTCTGGCAGTGCAACACGATGATGGGCCGAAGGATGCTGAAGTAAGCCAGAACTGAGCAGTATGCGCTGAATGAGGAGATGTTTCTCCTGTAAGACTTGTCCGTTTCATTTTCAGAAATACATATGTAATCGACATCGACAAAGAACGTTCATGTCAGGTTCAAAACGCCTTCAATTTGCTTGTCATTGGTGTTAAGTTCTGCCCTTCTGACGCCTTGGGCCCTTTCGAACAATTTTCAACATTCTGGTTTCAGGCTTTGGTTCATGCGTCCTCTCGTAGATCTGGAGCTCTTGGAAGACCGGCTGGATACGGTAAGCGGTCCAACTTTGACTGAGAGATCGAGGGAACCATCATTGCTTCAAAAATGCTGCTGAGTTCACAGCCGAATTGTCTCGTTCGATTCTCGTCTCCTGGGTGTTTGGTGACAGTACCATTTTGCAGGTTCCAACAAAAAAGCTTCACGCTGATATGCTTTTGACCTGCAGATCTCCTTTCTCATGTCCTCACAAGACCTGGTAAAGGCATTGAACGACTCCTTGAAGAAGATAAAGGACGTTCCCAAGATCTTACAGGTAAACATAAGAGGTCCGCCTGAGTATCTGCTGAGATCAACTCTCTTTGTGTACTGTGTCAGAACAGTAAGTACAAAGCGCATGTCGAAACCGTTCAGACAATCTACCCTTCTCTTATCTGCAGAGGTTTGGCTGTGCGGGAGCCCGTTCAACTGCAAGAGACTGGTCGCAATTCCTCGAGGTGGGAATTGAAATTGGTCGAAATCCTGCATGCTCACAGTCGCGCTCTTTGAAGGGCGGAGCACTGCATGTGTCAAAAATAAGACGTGACTCTCTGAGATGCAACGAGAATTGTCCATTATAGTAGACAAAAGACGAAAGTGATTCAAGATCATTCGCAGGGATAACTCGTCGAGCTTGAAGATGCCGACCATGTAGTGTTTCTCGTGTTCCAAACTGCTTATATCGAAACCGGTGTCTCTTGTCTGCAGAGCTTAGCTAACGTGGTGCACATACGAGGCCTTCTGGAGCTAATTGTATCTCAGAGGCAGCAAGACGCGGCGGCGATCCTAGAACTGCAGGTCGTAAGGAAGGTAATATCTGCAAGAACAATCGACAAAGTTTCGGACAGCTATCTGCGTTTGTATACCTGAGGTCAGGATGGATGTACGCGAGGAACTAGGTGCTAGCAGCTTCCAGCGGCCAAGCAGCCCTGATCGATTGTACTTGGTGAAAAGCTCTGCTTCAGCAGAGCAAACCGGCGGGCTTCAGTGGGATGTTACGAGCCTCTTCGATCGTCATCAAAATATGACGGCGACTTTTTGCCTCTCTCCTCAGATCTTCAAGTACGTAAACGAAGAACTTACGCAAGTCTGCGAGCTGGTGAGATCAAGAAACCGTCAATTGAGGAAGTAACGCACCATTTCCACCCTCGTTGAATGCGGATCTATCATGTTGGTACAGAATCTGCTTGGCAGTAAACGACAATTCTCTATGTTGTGCAACCTTTACGACCTTGCTATCGAGCCCAAGTTTACAGTAACATGCTCATCCTTTCCGCCGCTGGCAACATTGATTTCTCATCTACACCCGCACAGGTACGAGAAGTGATAGACTTTGACCAGACCTGTGGAGAGTCGGTCGAGACCATTGTGGCCTACGGAATCTGCGAAGAGGTTAGGATACACTGTCAAGTAGTTGCTTTCTCCTCAAGAATACACAATCTCGCTATATTAACTCTTTTCTTTTTCGCATAAGGAGTCAAACGGGAACTTCGAGCAAAGCGTTACGAAGAGACCAGAGATTCACATTCTCGCGAAAAGGTTAGGTCGTTTTTGGCTTAAGGATTCCGTGTATCCTACTCAAGTGCCTAAAGTTCGAATCCAGTTCTAGTGTCTTACTACCTCCTCAACTGCTCGCAGCTCGACGATCTCAAGCATCAGTACGAGGGACTCCCGGACTTCTTGAACCAGGTGAAAGTTCCAACAAAGGCAGGGGTTCCATAAATATCCAGGGCTGAGGCGTTGAAGAGAGGTCCTAATAGAGAAGGGAAAGAACAGGAAGTGCAGGAAGAGGAGTCGAAGAGCACCATGTGGTAGACCCTCCATTCCAACACCTTATTGGTCATTGCTCCTATTGTGTTCAGGTGGCCGAGGCAGAGCTGAACAGGATACCTCCGGGGGCCCTGCAGGAATGTAACTATACCGAGGCTTCTATCCTGCACATTCCTCAAGTAGGTAAGGCAAACGGCACAGATCGAGTGAACCAGAGTCCAACTACTTTCAATCTACATTAGATGGGGCCTCCGTCATCGCATCCTTAGCATGAGATAAAAGCCTCCACTTCAGTTGGCAGATCTGATGGAGACCGAGCGTACGCCTTAAAGACGTCCTTACCAAATGCGGCACCCGGAAAAGGCGCGACCTGACATCTTTGATATTTCTACTTAGCGGTATCTCAGTTCGTACCCCAATCTGCAGGTTATTTGATGCGATTTGAGGGAGACAAACAGGGACAGGCGTTGACGGACGCACTCCCCGACTTTGAGTTTGCGGTAAGCAGTGCCGCCCCACTCTCCACCAACCTTCCAAGGAATTTCCAAGCTCTTGAATGTCATTCTCCTGTTTCGGCCTCAGGATCTAACAGATTATGACACATTGCGTGTGAACGGGAATAAATCATAATCCGAACAGCTGTCACGATACTGCGTAATATCAAAAGCTCGACGTTCAAACGCCTTTCAGACGTGAATTTGCGTTGCCTAATCAGTTCGAAGGTGACGACGCCGACGGCCACGGAATCTTCTACCATACTAAGCGCACGCGCGAACTGGGCGAGCTCTTGGGCGATGTCTACCACAAGATTCTTGGTAAGCCTACCGCGATTTAAGAGACTCTGATGGGAAAGAAGTACTGTTGCATGGATGTTCCGCCTACGGCTCCCAGCGTGATTATGAAGCACGATGGAGTCTTGACACCTACTTTGAAAGTCTTTGATCAGATCTATCTCAATCAATAATCTCTTCGCTTGAACGTATTGCTTCTACTTTGCAGATATGGAGAACGCCATTCTGCGAGATCTTGAGAAGCGAGTCGTTGATTCGAGCACGAACCTTGTCCAAGCTGTCGACGCCGCCGCAGAACTTGATTGGTAATCCGCTCTCAGCTTTACGAGAAGTAGTGCTTGCATAGGCGAGCATAGCGTAAAACCAATGTGTTTTTGAGCATCTTTTGAGTCAGGAAATGGTTCTCGAGGACGGGCGCTGGCAGACTATTTTCCTGCTCGATGCTTCTCGTAGACAAGTTCGGTATCGCTGACTATAAGACCTGCATTGCAGCCTCTTGTCTCTGAGCATCGCCGCCAGAGAGTACAACTACTCCAGACCCGTCCTCACTCGAGAAAATGTCCTCGTCATACGCAATGGAAGGTTGGATCTCGACCCGACTCTCTGTTCATCGAACCTTTTCTCGAACTTTAGAATGACTCACTGTTGCCGCAGAAGATCCCGTCCGCTTCTTTTTCAAACCTTGTCACAGCGTAGGGCTTTCTGGCTTTAAATCTACTTGATTGATAGACCGAACTTCAGTCGACATTCTCGGATCCAGGCACGTGCTTCAAGAGATGACGGTTGACACGTTCGTCCCGAACGACACAGAGATAGAGGCGACAGGTAAGGTAACAACACTTCTCGACCAGTGCTTTGCGCATCTACGCTCAGGACGGTGCTTTTCTTTGCCAGATTGAAACCCGCTTGCTGCTCAGATTGTCAGAATCCAATATGCTGCGTCATTGGTTTTGAGGGAAAGAGGAACGGTGCTTTCCAGGAGAGCATTTAAACCGAGCAATGCCTGCAGGTCGCATCAACGTCATAACGGGGCCAAACTATTCCGGGAAGAGCGTGTACGTCAAGCAGGTACGAACTCAAGAATCCCGCTGAGGTGCTTTGCATATATACCCGTAGCTAGAGAGTCAATATCGAGGATTCAGAGAAGTTCGTCAGTTTTATCTGATCCTGGAACTCTAATGAGGGCATCCTGAAGGCCTTGTGGTATCTCAGGAAGTCCCGACAAGCAGTCTCTGCCCTCTCCATTTGAACCTTTTCTGGCACCCATCCAGGTAGCGCTCATCACCTTCCTGGCTCATATTGGAAGCTTCGTGCCCGCCGACGAGTGCACCGTCGGGCTTACTGACAGGTGACGTTCTGACCGTTTAAGCCTCTTGCCTGTCTGTGCGAAGAGGTGCAGGTACAAAGCTTGACTCGTTTTGAACGCAAAAATCTTACGTTCTAATTTCCTCCTTCACGCGAGGCGGTAGATGTGAAAGAGTAAAATACAAGGTCTGGTTTTCTTGCAGGATCTTCACCAGGATTGCGAGCAGAGAGACGATGGCCGTGGCCCAGTCTACTTTCATGATAGACCTTAACCAGGTTTCGGTCATGCTGAGGTGCACCCCACTTATTTCACTCGAGTCACCCGTTTTTTGGTGCCTTGAGCTCAGATAATCGTATATGCTTTCAAGGATCATCAGTATTCATGAATGGTTGCTTCTCTTCCTCGGTTCTGCTCAAGTTGCTGCATCGTTAGTTCAAGGAGAGACTCTCCGTCCAGCCGACTGAACCATCTCAAAACCCCTTTTGTTTCTCCAGGCATGCGACGGCTAGGTCTCTTTGCATCATAGACGAGTTTGGCAAGGGCACACTCACAGCTGGTAAGCACAGAAAATCTGCGTCGAAAGCCCGTGTGAAGCGCTGGAGGAACGGAGCATCCGGCCATCCACACGGCTTATTGTTCCACAAGCAGACCATGCTTGCCGTGTTTCCTGGCACTCAGCTGTGAATGTGTGAAGCCGGTTGCAAATAACACAAAGAAACTTGTTCTTACTATTGTTGCTTCTCGTCTGCAGACGGAGTCGGATTGCTGTGTGCAACTCTGAAGCACCTTGCTTCACTCAAGGCTCCTCCCAAGGTGAGTGTTCTGGGTGCAAGTTGGGCCACCTTAAAGCTGACCGCTTGGTTCACCAACTTGCACTAACGCTGACGATAACGCTGACGATGCTCCGTGCAAAGCTCTGGCACTGAACGCACGCGTCTTGATCAGGTCCTTGTCTGCACCCACTTCGGCGAAGTCTTGGACGAGACCTTCCTGCCAAGGGTAAGGGATTGTCTTTTCTATTCACAGACTGTAGCCGGCTCGCTCCGACCTTCTGATTCTTCTCGTCAACATCTTAGAACAGATCGTAGCATACCCTGTGCGACGCAGGATTGGTATATGGTGGGTTTTCAAGCAATGTCTGTTGTAAGAAAGCACACAAAGATCGTGAAGTGCTAACTTCTCTCGTTGACCTCCTCAGTCCAAGAACGTCCAGTTCTCGACGACGAGCATCCTGACGGAGCAGCAGCCTGAGGCTCAGCCGGCTGAGAACACGCGGGGCTTGCCGAAAGACATAACCTTCCTCTATAGGTACGAACTCATAAGCTTCGCTGTGGCTGTCAGCAGACTCCTGCGGTCGAGGCGAGTGTCGAAGCAGTTTTTAAAACCCTTCTGTCTCATCAAGTGCACTTGTTATTCAGTAATAGAGGCTTTCATCAGATTCTTGAGCGGAGAAAGCCGCAGCAATACTCCACGAAGCAGCGGGCAAACTTGTCTTCGCTTTGAATCGACAAGATTCGGAACGTCCTCCTCTTAACTGACAACGATCTCTACCGTGCAGGCTTGTTAAAGGCCACGCCGTCCCGAGCTACGGTGTACACTGCGCGGAGCTAGCAGGTCCGTGGTATTCCCATCCGCAGCTTTGTCACCCGTTTCACTGCGAGGTCGATTTTAAATAACATCTGACAACACAAATCCTTTCATTTAGAAGACGTTTTGATCTTAAAGTACCATCTCTGAAACGTTTGCCATGGATAGTTCCGCTAGCTTGTAGAAGAATCAGGTCCCAGTCCAGATTCATTATGAACGCCAGTTGAGCAAACAGCACTTCCCAAACACGGAGGACAACACGTGCAACAACGTTCTCGGATTCGGAGTCCTTGACCTCCAGGCGTTGCTCCTGACGTTCTCACGCGCGCCTCAGAGATCATCCAGTTCATCAAAGAAGGAAAGCCCATCGACAGGCTCCAAGGAAACAGAACGGTGGAGAAAGACCTGGAATACAAGGTCGGGTCCGGCACAGGGCGCTTCTAAACATGCTCGTATTGATCCGCTTGACTAGAAGTGATCAAGAGCAATGCCCAAGCATGTCCAGCCTTCTGGAATTCAAACATCCGGACACGGCTGCCAAGTTCATGAGCAAAGAGCGGGAGGTTCCTGTCAAGCACTCTTATTCGATTGTGCTCAAATCTGGATCTAAAATGGATGTCCTTTTTCCTGGCAGGCCCTTGTCGAAAAACTGCTCGCCTTTGACTGTCAAAGCGGAGACCCAAAGGAGTTCCTGAAACAGATCTTTTCGCCGGCTCCAAGTGTCGAAGCCACCGCTAGTGAACCATAGTTGCTATCGTCGTGATTCGTTAGCTGATCGCCTAGGATAGCTGATCTTCTAAGAGCACGAAACTGCGCCTGAATACATACTTGACTCGTTCAACAACACTGCCTGTGCAAGTACGTTCTTCATCCGCGGATTCGGATCTTCTGGTAGATGATTGAGAAATCAGCCTCGCTTGAGCTGCCGGGCCTGTGCCCTTCCATCTTGTTCACTGTTCGATTCCGATCAGCAGACTTCCGCCCAGAGCCAACACTGAAAACGCAACGCCCTGTTAGCCGATCAGCAAGGCCAAAGGCAAGGTCGTTGGATCGAGTATAGAACGGTTTTGCTGATGGACAAAGATCATCGGTTTGATCATTAGTGCTGCAGCCGAATACCAGTGGCAGCTTACGTAAAGCATGGCTAGAGTTTTGGCTCCATTTGATCTGATATTATAAAGAGCTCTCCTTCCGACGGTCGACACAACGGTCACGGTTGCTCGGGCCAGCGTGCCAGTCGCACCCGCCCTTCGCCCACGCCCAGCGGCGCGACCAGCCAAGCCGGCCGCGGGGCCCGCAGGTGCTGCGAATCATAGGTGAGTTGACCATCGATCTGGTCTTCTGTTCATCTGACGGCTCGCAGTCAAGTTGCTTATCTCCTTGATGGTCCTTGACGTGGATGCTTGCAAACCGTAGATGAGAACCAAATCAAAATGATGGCCAGCAAAACAAACATATGACCCATGTGGGTCATCATTAAATTTACAGCTTCAAGTAAAGGTATGAACAGTCTGGCACACCGGGCTGATCAGCTGCAGCACCGGGACTAGCACACCGACAAACGAAAGGGGAATCCTCGCCCCTTCCGCAGCGGATGGCCGGGTTCGAGAATCGAACACACGACCTTTCGGTCCAACCCCTTTTAGTGTGCTAGGTTAAGCACGACGCTCAACCAACTGAGCTAGCCCGAGGAGGCTACAGCTTCAAGTTCATGGCTGCCATTCTCTCCAGCAGATGGGCGATTCGCTTGCTATCCTACCCTACCAACTTGATGGGACTCTGCTCTTTGAAATTTCCACCTGTAAACTCACTGCAGAGCAATGACAAGCGTCTTTAGGTTTCCTGCTTTCAGTTGGTAATGGTTTGTGCTTCGAGATGGCGGGGGTCACGGAGCATCTGGGCCGCACGCAGTGGCCTGGATGTAGCCGATCACCAAGAAGTTCTTCGCGTTTGCAAATGAGCAGTGCGTCTCACCTGCTCGCGCCAAGGGTGACGTCACACCATGCATCCTGCCAATGCACCTTCTTAGGGGAGTCTCTAGTCTGCCCCCAAAACCCTCGCTTTCAACATCGGGCTATTGGCTTGCGGGTCGAGGGAGTGAAACAGTCTTCTTCGCCTTCGAGAAAGCTTTCTGCAGCTTCGCTGTGTTCCTGCATTTGGAATGGCTCATGTCAAGGTAGTGCTTCTAGGAGGTGCGTCAGTGCTGCGTCTGTGGCTGAGACTGGGGCGCCCACGGAGACAGAAGCAGCGCAGGAAAGGGCGGAACTGGGCGCGGGCGCAAGGACGCTGCTTCTTTGGCAAGCTCGGGCAAAGCCAGGTATGTTTGGGACCGTTCCTCTGCTGGCTGATTCAGCCCTTCCCTCCTTTCTTTCCAACAATTTTTGTTTGCTTGATGTTGGAGTTCATTGGAGCAGCAAAGCGCTGGCAGTGATGCCCCTTCCTTGCACATGAAAGCTTTTGGCTATACCGCTGTGTGCATTGGATGCGAGTCGCCTCTAACTAAACCAGCTGGAATGGGCAAGAGAAAGCTGTGTGTCCGAGAGCTTTCCTCTATCATTGCACGGCCTTGAAAGGTCCATAAGAGAGTCTGTCAAACGTACATCGATCCTTTTTTAAAGGAGAGTTGTCAACGTCTGTGCGTAGGTTGACTACTCAGACTGTGGGTTGTCTTCGCTGCACGCAATGTCAGGCATAGAAGATTGAAACTTCACATTGCAAATCTTCTTCCCAGGTTCGTCAAGAAAAGCGCCCCAGCACCGACCTGATCAGCTCGAAACCTCCCCAGCTTCTGAGCATCCTCTAGGCTCCGAGCAAACTGTAGCCACCGCTAAAGCAATCAAAGCCCCCTCAAGAAGAAAACCTGGCGCACTACTGGACTCCATCAGAACCAAAGTTCTGAACGCTTCGGAAGACGTGGTCGTGAAAGGCGCTCCCGAGAGTAATCTGAAGGCAAGGAAACCGGTGGCGCCACATGAGGATCGACGGTTGGGAATAGGCGTCGGCGAATCAGCCTCGCCCAAAATCCCCGGCCCCATTCAGAATGAGGTGCCCGTACTCTGGAGTGAGGATGGAGCCCGGAAAGGGGGGCGAGCTGTTGGGGGATCCCCTCGGGGCAGTGTGAATGGGACTGCATCGAAGGTGGCGCCACCGGAGGGCGGCGCTGATGTCATCAGCTTCAACGGGGCGCTGTGGGCGGTGGCGGCGGCTGCGTCGAAGATTGCGAACGGGGGGGTGGTTGAGCAGAAGTCCACAGGTGCGGGGGAGGCCTTGCCGGGGGGGGTTTCAGAACGAGGGGCCCTCCGTCTTAACAGAAGGCTCATTGCCAATGGGGCGTCCTTTCATGCGGCAGATTTGAGAGGGAGCGAGGGGGCGGAAGGACCTTCGGAAGAACAGAGTTCGGCGGTCATGCACGTAGGGGGATTGCCGAAGACTGCAGCAGAAAGAGGTGCCGGTCTGAAAGCGAAGAGCAAAAAGGCAGGGCCTGCAAGCGCCAGCGGTCAGGGGACTGCGTTTGAGGACGGCGTGATGGAAGCATTGCGCAAGAACATGATCGAAGCTCTGCGCGAGAAAAGACCGGCAGGTGCGGGGCCGCCGTCCGCCGGTCCAGGGGGCTCTGTAAGCGAAGCAGGGTCGAGCGGGGCGCTTGGAGAACTAGAGCGGCCAGACGTGTCGGGTACCGAGGAGGAGAGCGGTCGGACGGATTCGGGGCTGTCGGCCAGCACGTCGGGCCGAGACGCCGCCCCAGCTCGGAGCCGGGCGCGGAAAGCGAAAGTGTCTCTGGCCACCGAAATTCTGATAGAGCAGGCCCTGTCAGAGGGGGAGGCGCCGAAGGAAGCACCTGTTCGAAAAACTAGGAAGCGGGTGCAAAAGGTGGTGGTGGTCGAGGGGCCAGCGACGGGGGAAGGGGAGAAGCCGAAGCGGGTTAGGAAACGGGTTAGGGTGCGGTCAGCGGAGGTTGAGGGTGGACCGCCGGATCTTGGTGGGGCAGAAAACAAGAGCACAGACGCGGAAGAAGATAGAGAGGGGGTGGAGGTTTCAGAGGGGTCGAAAGGGGATTCGAGGAGCTTTAGAGCGCGACGTGGGAAGTTGCCAGCCTTGGGGGCTGCGACGTCCCCGGTAGAGACTGTTGGGAGGGAGCGGATGCAGGCAGGGCAGATCAGCAGACCGGTTCAAAAGAAGGAAAACAGCGGAAGCACAGTGCCAGCTATCGTGGGATCGATGATTCTGGGAGCTGCGTCTGGAAACGAGCCAACAGCTGTCCAGAGCCTAGGGGGCTTAGGGCCGAAGCTGGCAACTCAGAGTGTAAATAAGGGTTCGTCCTCCAAAGAAGGTTCGCGAAAAGGGGGTACGGAACATACGTTGAGGGGCAGAACTGGGAGCTTAAAGCCAGCCACGAGTCAGGTCCCTCTGGGGCCGATCCAAGCCCTGCGCGCCTCCGCCCCGAGCATCAGTTCCAGCGAGTCTGGCACTGTCGTCAAGGGTCCAAAGGTCGCCACGAACCGGGCGGGAAGCGGGCCAGTTTCGCTTGACGTCGAAGAGGGGTTCCGGGGGCCAAAGGTCGCCACAAACCGGGTAGTGGGCGGATCGCTGGATGGAATGGAAGCAGAGGAAAGCGTCGCTGAGGGGCCGAAGTTGGCGACCATGAAAGTGCCGTTGGGTCCGATTGCAGCGCTGCGTGCAGCGGCCAGCCAGCCAGCCAACGACCTCGCGCCAGCTGTCAGGATCGCGGACGAGGTTCTCGAGGTGGGGCCAATTCAAGTGCTTCGGTCTTCTGGGAGGCATGCCGTTTCGGCAGTCACAAAGAGGAGCGCCCCGCTGGATTACCTGTCAGATCTCGAAGAGGAGGAAGAAGAATTCGAGATTGGAGAGGGGGAACTCGACGATGGGCCGATTCGGGGTCTGAGATCCTCTGGTGGGCGTGCTGGGGTTGGGTCCTCTTATGGGGCGGCTGCGCTGGACTACCTCTCTGACCTTGAAGAGGAGGACGGGGAAGGCATCGAGGAGGAGACGGCCGAGACTCCGGTGGGGGGCTCCGTTGCCTCAGGGGTCCAGGGTGCGCAAAACCCCCTGAAGAACAGTTATTACAGCGACCATCTGATGGAGTCGCATTCGAAGACGAAGTTCGTGTGGGGGAGGCAAAATGCACACGCCAAGGAGGGGACGTTTCTCGAGCAGTTGGACTACAGCATCGAGCCCCCCGAAGCTGAAAAAGTTGCAGAAGAAATGCCGATCGGGGGGCAGCGGAAGCGAAGAAGGGGGATGCGATCAGAGTCTCCCAGCAGATCTGGGGAGTCCGTAAATAGAGGGACGGGAGAAAGTTCACAGGGAGAGCAGAAGCCGACAGGTGGCGCAAAGCCCAGTAGCGAATTCCTGCTGATGTACGCGACGTGGCGGGACTTGAGCGAGGGCCGGCTTGACCCTGCGGGTTACGAGGTGGTTAGCGAGAAAACCGGGGCGGTTATCGGGGTGGTCAGTGCGCTGGAACCACTCACGCCGGCGGCCGAGAAAGAGATGGAGGAGACGGGGCTGCAGCTGCACACGGGCCTGCTGCGCATGACAGCTGTCGCGGGGTTTGTCGATGAGTACGAGAGCGAACGGAGAACACCGGCAGGCTCGGCCGGAGTTCCTTCGGGGATTGAACAGAGGGGTTTTGTCGAGAGCGAAGCGGAAAGTGCGTCCGCTCTGTTTGGAGGGAGCGAGGGCAAGGGGGCCGGAGACGCTAAAGACGACGAGGAACTAGAGCGGGAAGAATTGCTAAATGCACTCCGTGAGTTTGACGGCGAGGAGGGGGTTCAGAGTGAGGGGGATGAGAGTGATAGCGATTGGGAGGAACTTGAAGATGACACAGACAGTCTAGCTAGTCTTGACGAGCTGAAGGCGGCCCTGGGGGGGTCCGACAGCGAGGAAGAAGACGAGGGAGGCGCAGGCGCTGCGCAGCGGGAGTATGCGATTCCCGTCATCGGCGAGTACATTGCTGACGTCAGCGTGAAGGAGCGGCGGATACGTGTGACGCTTCCTGGTTCGCTGGACAGGATCAGCCGGCGGCCGGCGATTCTGAGGGGCCTGGGTATGGCGCTGTACAAGTAAGGAGCCTCCCCTGCTGGATCCACTCAATTTGATCTGTTTCACTGTTCAATGCCGGTCGATCTGGCAAAAAAGATGTTTGTGGTTTGTGTATGATGTCCCAGGGTGCTAGGTCTTACAGATAGTTCCGTTTTCCATTTACAGGTTGAAGAGTGTTCGTGGCTGGATTTGGCCGCATCAAGTTCGCAACCCTCTGAATGTTGACGTCTTCTCTGTGCTCACCCAAACCTTGTTCGCCCCACGCCCTTTCGAGACTCCCCTGTTTATATACACCTTATTTTGGCCCGTTGATTCTCTCACTTCAAGGTGATGAGTTTGTTGTATAATCCTTGCTTGAGATGCACGGATTACTTCGTTTCGATTCAAACGTGTTTCGGAACATACATATTTTTGCTTTCTTGGTGCAAAAATTCCGGCAGTGGCGTCATCATCTCATTCGATGAGCATTTGTCTCTCTTGGCCTTACTTCGTCTGTCTCCTTCGTTAAAGCGGTTCTGAGCTGCTGAGTTCCTCTCGCAGAAAGAGACCAGCTTTTTTTGGAGATACGTTCGCGGCCTTTCCCTTTGCAGGGAGACTATTCCGACAAACGGATAGTAGCCGTCCCAAAGAAATGCACTAAAATGAACCTAATCTCACCCCAGGTATTGCTCCGGCAAGAACCAGAGTGTAAAGACGCTCGCAGAGGTGAAAGAGAAAGCGAGGGGGGGCCGGGCGGGCGACGGCCGCGAGCAGAAGCGGAGCCTGGCGCGGCAGAACTCGACTGTGCATCCGCAGATCACATACATACCCACGGAGAAAGAGGTGGGTGCAGTTTAGACGCGCATTTCTTAGTTTGAAACAAGACGTACATCTGCAATGTAGAAAGATGTGTGCGGCAGCTTTGAGGTTTTGGATACGTCTTCTGCAACTCCAAAGAGAGGCGCGCATGCGCAGTCCACGTACGATGGAAGCAGGTGGGCGAAAACACCGAAGTCGTGAAGGACGCTGCCTAGAATTCTCGGGAAGTTCTCAGTGGCGGTCTGGAGAGCTTCGGAGCAACTGTTCATACCTGAGTCGATCTCATCGGTTGCCAAGACACTTTTCAATATCTGTTCGAATCGTTCACAAGAGCTGCCGTTACGAATCATCTTCGTTGTATTCGACGCTCTCCTTTCTCTTTTCTACAATTTATGGTTTGCTTTCTCTTTCTACAAAGAACACTCTTAAGGAGCCACTTCCTTGTCCTAAAAGGCTGCTCTGCAAACATATTAACTAAAATTTTCCTCTTTCGTTTCATTATGCAGTTGCTGACTGACGGGCGAGAGGACATCCTAGAGGATATCGAACTCGTGGGCGGTTTCGCAGCGGCCACAAACGCGCTCGGGCTCTCCCGTCAGAAGCGACCGATCGGGTTCTGGGAAAACAAGCTCCACCTAGACGCGGAGATTGAGCTGTTCAACTACTCACGGTAGGTCCCTTTTTTGAGGAGCCCTTCCCTCGTGCGTCGTTACTTTTCATGTCACTTGGCACCAGGCTCAGAATCCTTCACTTCAAGGACTCCATCTTCTCTTGGCTCATGTGGCACAGCGTGCACAAGCCTCTCACAGGCGTACATTTGGCAATACGTAGCCTCAACCAGTTTATTGAGTTAGGTTACATATTGACCTGCACTCTGCGGCCAAACGCTTGAATTTCTGATCTCGGATGCACAGATGGACGAAGCGCACCAACTCGGAGACTGGGGAAGTCTACTGGGTCAATCTGCTGAACGACATGGTGGCTCGGGAGAAGCCCCCGCCCCCGGACAGCCTCACCCCGCCTCTCCCGGTCAGCTACCGGGAGGAGGACGTCGACACGGCGTGCATGCCCAAGCGGAAAGACGTGCAAGAAGCGGGGAGGTGAGGCGCACAATCTGCGATTCTTCAGCTGAAAAGCCTCACGCTCTCAGGGTTCTACCGTTTCCCTACTACATCGCTTTCAGGTCACTTGATATTGGGAATGTCAGTGAGCGCTGTATTGTATGTCCGAGCAGAAGGACGTGTAGAAGGGGGCAGGTGAGTCGCTCATCTCATGCTTTACTAGCGTATCTTGTCGCTCGGTGTCGACACTCTTGAGTTCTCACAGGGCTGTGAGAGTGCTGGAAAGGGTCCCGTTTGCTAGCTGGATATGGGCGTCAAAGAGAGAGTTATAGGGCATTTGGTGGCGTCCAGCTTCTTTCCATGTCGCCTTTGATTTCAGAACACAAAGAGGATTCAGGTCAAGTTGAAACAATAACGAGCCCAAGCGGAAGACGTCTAAGAAGGCTACAAGGCGGGCGCACTTTCTGGAGGTCTCACCTCTCACCTCTTTGCACTTGTCAGCCCAACAACCTTCAAATTCTCCGTTGTCGCAGGTGGGACCTGCACCACGCGATTGTCTCACATGGGGGGTACACGGCAGTCGGACGCGAGCTAGGGCGGCAGACCCCCCCTCGCCTCCCAGAGGGCGCTCCGCGTCTCCGTGAACAGTCGTCCAAATACGCCTTCCCCGAGATGCTGGTCAGCGCGATCCGCAAAGTGATGAAGGAGAAGAACCTGACCAAGCTGCCCAGCATCCGAGACTTCAAGGAAATGGTGAGATAGGCAATAGCGGCCTGTTGCCTTTTGTATATGTCACCAGGCAGTTTGACCTCAGCTGTCATGAAGGACTCGCTTATCTGCTCCGGACTGCCCAGCACTTGGGGCCTGTGGCCTGGACTCTCCCATAAATTTCTCCGTTGGCTCCCCGGTTCTTTCTGTTCTTTCTTGAGCCAAGCCCACCTGACGACACTTCTAGGTGGTTAGCTCCACTGTCGTCATTTGCTCACGGCACCCGAAGTACTTGCTGACGTCCATTCCTATCTTCCCCACGGCTCACGAGGACCTGGCTGACGTCATTCCCTCCTTCTCATATCACTGGAGCCTTGCTAACGTCATCCACCTCCCACTTGCAGGGTCGCAACGACATTGTGTTAGGGTTCCGGCGCCACGGCGGGGTCCTCGCGGTCGCCGAGATGATGAACGTGGAGCCGAAGGTCGAGCTGAAGCCGGGCCCGTGGACGCTCGAGTCGGCCGCCGCCGCGCTCAGTGAATACGTCAACGAGAAGGCGGCGCGCACGGGGCAGCCGCGGTCGATGCCCACGCTCAAGGAGCTACAGCAGGCGGGACGGAGCAATTTGCGGTATGTGATCCAGCACTTCGGGCAGAAGGTCATGGCGGAACAGCTGGGGCTGCCGCCGAACCTGAGCTCGCACGAGAAGAAGCGCCTACGCGCGGCGCAGACGGCCGCCGAGGGGCGCGCGGGCCAGAGCGTCGCAGAGCTGCGCGCGGAGGCGGAGCTGCGCGCGATCCGCAGCCCGTGGACGCTCAAGTTGGCCGCGGCCGCGCTGAAGGAGTACGTCGACGAGAAGGCGGCGCGCACGGGGCAGCCGCGCGCGATGCCGACGCTCAAGGAGCTGCTGCAGGCCGGGCAGGGCGACCTGCGGTATGTTATTCTGCACTTTGGGCATAAGGTTATGGCGGAGCAGCTGGGGCTGCCCCCGAACGTGAGTACGCACGAGAAGAACCGCATGCGCGCGGCGCAGGTGGCGGCAGAGATCCGCGCAGGACAGAGCGTGGCGGAGCTGCGCGCGTTGTGGAGTAAGAGACAGAAGGTGGCACAGCTGGCGCGGTTGGGAAAGCGAGGGGACGGGGGGAAGGTCGGGAAATAGATGTGTAGGCTGCAGTATGCTGGAATGGAAAATGTCGCTTTTCGGCAGCTAGAGCAAGGCTTACTCGAATGTGACAATTGACCTCGTCAAATACTGACCCACTGATTGATCTGGCAACTGCAAAACGTGTGGGAATGTGCGTCGTTACACCAGAAATCGGGAAGAAGTGCATGTTCCGCAATAGCTGATTGCAATTTCTGCTGCATGAGCGTCGAGTTGCGTCTGGCTGTTTGCATTATGCTGATGAGTCAAGTTGCGTGGTCATTTGCATGATACGCACTGACCCATTCTGAGCGCAGGCTCACGTGCAGAAAGTGAGGTATGCCTTGCAGTGTGCATACAGAGTCGATCTGATTGATTGCAATATTTGTACTGCATGATGCAATTTATCGCTGGGACTTCATGCTTGATTTTCATTTATAGCAAGCTATGCCCTATTCACATGCGTAGCTGCTACGTGTGCTACGCAGCCTACGGAGCCGGGGTGTAGCGTCAGTTTGCTACGGGGGGTGAACTTAGATGCCGCAAAAGTTGCTACGAAGGCAGTCCTGGTTGCAGGATTTCACATTTACATGGTATGTGGGCTTGAGTGTATGCATAATCTAGACTATATAACATTCGATTTCGAGCTTTCGAAGGCTCAATTGAACGTGAAGTGTCGAAAATTGGAATCACTCCGTGCCGCAGCCGCAAGCCGGTACGGAAGCTACGGGGGTCAGAATCTGCGGCAAAAACTGGTTCCGTAGCGGGTTCGGTAGCGTCCGTTCGGTTGCTTCCGTTGCGCCAAAAACTCATAATCGACATTCACATTTCGTATAGCACTGTCGCGTCGGATGTGTAGCCTCCGTAGCACCAAAAAATTCTACCCATGTGGACAGGGCATTACCAATGATTTTACTAATTTTCTTATTGCAAGTTAACCGCCACCGACAGTTACTGTTAGGAACAGATCTATAGGAGGGTATATGGTCACACTTTCAGTAATGTGCAAGCCTAACTTAATGATTTTGGCAACGGAAGTGTTCACTAACAGAGGCAGGCCCGCGAGGGACGGGATTGTCGGTACAGCTGGTTTGGTGGTTTTGGGTGTAGAGCGCGTGATTTTGTCCGTTGGGGTTTTTAGTTTGTGTCTGGAGTTCCTGAAGTCTAGTGAACACACTTCCGTCGCCATTATGCCTAATGCAAACCGTACCGTACGCTGCACTTAGCACATGCCGCCACAAGCACATGGATACTACCATGGCTAGGCAAAGACTGGAAGTTTTTGTGCTGCACCATGTAGTGACAGTGCTTGCAGCTGTCTGATTCAGGCGTTATTTTTACTTGCTTACATCATAAAAGTTTGGTCGGCAACATTACCTAGCCGAATGCTGTCCATTAGAAAAAGAGTCAGTTTGGAAGCCGTTTGAGCAACTAGCTGGAATGAAGTATTCATTCCATGTCTCACATTTCTTCAAAGTACGATATACGCATCTGGAATAGTTGCGTCAAGAGAGATAATCTTAGATGCAACAGCCGAGTTCTATTCAAACAATCTCGACATGCAACATTTGCGTTGGACAAATAGACCTTTTGAGGAAGCGGAAGAGATCCAGTTCTCAGAAACAGAAACTAAACAGAGTGATTCTTTGAATTTACAATATCGACAAAACACAGTGATTCTTTGAATTTACAATATCGACAATGTCATGTTACAGCATCGCAAGTAGCAACTAATCTCTACTGCCCTCCCCTCAGCCTGAGCACCAGGTGCAGGGTCGACTCCTTCTGAATGTTGTAATCAGCAAGGGTACGCCCATCCTCCAACTGCTTGCCGGCAAAAATCAGCCTCTGCTGGTCAGGCGGGATACCCTCCTTATCCTGAATCTTAGCCTTCACATTATCAATGGTGTCGCTGCTCTCAACCTCTAGCGTAATGGTCTTCCCAGTCAGGGTCTTGACAAAGATCTGCATACCACCCCTCAGCCTGAGCACCAAGTGCAGGGTCGACTCCTTCTGGATGTTGTAGTCAGCCAGGGTACGCCCATCCTCCAACTGCTTGCCGGCGAAAATAAGCCTCTGCTGGTCTGGTGGGATGCCCTCCTTGTCCTGAATCTTGGCCTTGACATTGTCGATGGTGTCGCTGGACTCAACCTCAAGCGTGATGGTCTTGCCAGTGAGGGTTTTGACGAAGATCTGCATGCCTCCGCGCAGCCGTAGCACCAGGTGGAGAGTAGACTCCTTTTGGATGTTGTAGTCGGCCAGGGTACGACCATCCTCGAGCTGCTTGCCGGCAAAGATCAGACGCTGCTTGGTCCGGAGGAATACCTGAAAAGGCAAAAGCAATATGTAAGGGGGAAGCCGGATTGCTTGCCAACCACAATATTTCCTTCCCGAGACCTTACTGCTATGGAAGAGCTAGAAGAAGCGCCAACTGCTTTGCAGATGAAGTGAACAAAACCCGCTCAATGCAGATGAAGGGGAACAAAACCCGCTCACAAAAAAAAAAGCATGTAGCAATCTACACACTGCTTTCTGGCACTCTTGCACGCAAACCCTAAAAGAACAATGTCAATTTTTTAACAGCACCACTCAGCAGATCCTAAAACCCTAAAAAGTAAGAGTTTGCAGCACACCTCATGCCATAGAGCCGACAATTGTTGCAAAGCTGCAAGAACAAACCCTATTTTGCAAACCAAAAAAAAAAACCTACTCACCCTCCTTGTCCTGGATTTTCGCCTTAACGTTGTCGATGGTGTCGCTGGACTCGACCTCAAGGGTGATGGTCTTGCCAGTGAGGGTCTTCACGAAAATCTGCATGCCACCACGCAGGCGCAACACCAGGTGGAGGGTAGACTCCTTCTGAATGTTGTAGTCCGCCAGAGTGCGCCCATCCTCAAGCTGCTTGCCAGCAAAAATCAACCGCTGCTGGTCAGGGGGAATGCCTGTTGCACAGCAGGGAATAGCGTTACTTCAACAGCCAGCACTTGTGCAGTAGGAAAGAAGCTTCAAATGCTTGACGTCAATGTTGCCTGACGTGACTGTGATAATTTAATGCGTCCCTCAGGTACACTCAAGGCATACAACTTGGACATGGACGAAAACATCTGAAAGCAGCAAGAGTGAGGAGAAGCCCCCAACAAAGCAGCAAAACTATTAATATTGCAAGCAATTACATACCAAAGAGCAGCATATTCTCTTGAAAACATGCGAAGGAACATGCAAAAGACATAACATTCCGCAAACCCTATAACCGACTGCTCACACTTGTAAACACCATTATGGGTCAACCCTAGCAACTCTTACCTTCCTTGTCCTGAATCTTTGCCTTCACATTGTCGATCGTGTCGCTGCTCTCCACCTCCAGGGTGATGGTCTTGCCGGTCAAAGTCTTGACAAAAATCTGCATCCCTCCCCTCAATCTCAGAACCAGATGCAGGGTGGACTCCTTCTGAATGTTGTAGTCAGCCAGGGTCCTCCCATCCTCCAACTGCTTGCCGGCAAAGATGAGACGCTGCTGGTCCGGAGGGATACCTGACGAGCACAAACAAAAAGCATTAGCAAGCAAGTATTGAAGAGCAAACCTGAGACTGCGGGAACAAGGAACAAGACACAATACCTCCATTGGAAAGACGTAGAGGTACAGATAGAATAGACAGTTAATAGACAGAAGATCAATCAACCAGCGCATGCTTTTACTAGCATCAAGAATCAAGCACAAGCTATGAGCAGCATCGAGAACAAGCAGAAACTTGAAAGCTCCAAACCCATGACTTCAGGCCTGAGATGAACTACCAGCAAAGCCACCCACCTTCCTTATCCTGAATCTTGGCCTTCACGTTGTCAATGGTATCGCTGGACTCCACTTCCAGGGTGATGGTCTTGCCAGTGAGGGTCTTCACAAAGATCTGCATCCCACCCCGCAGCCTGAGCACCAAGTGAAGAGTGGACTCCTTCTGGATGTTATAGTCAGCCAGGGTTCTGCCATCCTCCAGCTGCTTGCCAGCGAAGATGAGCCTCTGCTGGTCAGGAGGGATTCCTTCCTTGTCCTGAATCTTGGCCTTTACGTTGTCGATGGTGTCGCTTGACTCCACCTCCAGGGTGATGGTCTTCCCGGTCAGGGTCTTCACAAAGATCTGCATGATGGGCGTTGCTGTAGGATGGCTTCGCTGTTGCTGTAGGATGGCTTGAGAACAGAGGGAGAAGAAACTTGGGCGGGCGCTCTTGCTTGCAAACTGCGAAGAACTCCTGAAATTTGGACTCTCAAGAATGCTTGAAATCCGAAGCTTTATGTTTTGGAGGGCGCTCCCGCTTGAGAGTTGCACTTGCAGTCTGCACACTGCAGCCTGCAGGGCTGCAGTTGAGCTGTGCACAGTCAGCTGCAGGGCGGCCAACATGAAGACCGGTCAATATAACCCGGGCACTTTATTTGTGCCAGACATACCATGAGCTCTGACCGGTGTATCACCCGGGAGATCTTGTCCAACTTCCGAAGCCCGGTCCCAACGGTTCCACGTGGGCGGGAACCGCCAGTTCCTTCTAGGGGTTTCCATTGAACTCTTGGCAACTTGCGCGACACCGCGTAACCAAGGGTAACGAACCCGGTATCCGATACCGCGTACCTAGGTTACCTTAGTAGGCGGCCGGTACGATACCGTGCCAGGCCTTGCGAGATGCTACGCGTGCTTGCGCGCGCTCTTCTACGCATGCCTGCCTGACACGGTTGCACGCATGTAGTACCGTACTAATGATGCAAAGTTGAAGCCATAATATTACCTGGCTATAACAGCTAAAACTCTTTAGCAGGCACAAGTTCGATATCAATCTTCCTGCTTCATTCTGGTGCCTTCGTAAAACATGAGAAGACTTTTCTGTGAAACCGTGCGTACTGTTGCTCGCGCGCAGTGTGTACAATACAACATCCTGCGAGGCTTTGGCATTTGCATGCCTTTTGCATGTACCATGTCCAGTCTGATTGGAGGGGACAACTCATCCAACCTGCAATATGCCTCACATGCACTTGCAGTCCGTACCACCACATGCATGGCAACTAAACATGCATGGCAACTAAGCCCGCACGCACGTCTACCTTTATCATGTGGAATTTCTCTCTATAAAAACGGAGGTTGCATCGAACTTCCCTTCTTGGCATGAGCTAGTCGATGTAAGATTGCCAACCAGATTTGTGGGACTGATCAACCGAGGAAGTTTCGACACCCACATTGCATAAGGAATCTCCTCACCGAATTCTTCTTGGTTGTCTCGCATACTTCTCAATGGAGTAGTACCAAAGAAAAGAGACGGTCTAATGTCTTGAGACTGTGTGCACAATTGTATCGCACTGCCGCAAAAGCATCGTATGAATCAAAGCTCCAATAGCAGACTCACTCAATCTATAAATTACAAAAGGACTACCGCTGGCAACTTTACTTGGGTCCACTATTTTGAGAAGGGCCGCAACGCTCCACCATCACCTCGTACAACTGCTTTCCGTTCTGCACAGAGAAGATGCCGGCGGAGAGTCACGAGTCAGCGAAACAAGCAAGGCATCTAGTAAGAATCTCCGGGTCCCAAGTATACATTCCCCTCTAGAGTGGTCGCTCTTGCATCCAGTTGCAAAAGTGAACGTTTCGAACGAGCACAGACCCTTCAATGACACTCATTCTTAAGGGCGAATCAGCGGCTCGTTTTTAGACCAATATCCCCACAGTTCTCAGGTCAATGACAGACAGACGTTTATGACGCAACCGACAACGCCGATTCGACCTCGGCAAGACCACTTCGACAGCAAATCTTTTAGGAACAATGTGACTTACCAGGATTACGGGGAAGAAATGAATCTGACCCTCTGGTTTGGTTTGTGTCTCCTTGAAGTAGACTAGTACAGGGAAGTTGGGCCACCAAAACTCCCAGTTCGTGAAGGTGTCAAACCTGTGACAAGCGTGCACATGACCTGTCCGCATGACTTCGTCTCGTCTCTCCTCTTTCATTGGTGCACAACAAAGGGATTGCATTGAATGAAGCGGAGAAAGAAATCTTTGTGAGAACTAGTCTGCCCCACAGAATATGTCAGTGGCTGCTCCCCTACCATTCGTGACAAACTCGCTGCTAATCTTTGTCATGTGCAAATGCGCAAGTCAAGATGAAAGAGGGGGTAAATAGGTCACTCAACTGTTATTGATCGTGAATGTACAGGTCGGAATTCATTCGCAGATGAGACTCGTCAGCGAATTGGTTAGTACCAATTCTGGTCAGGTCGGGGGTTCGGAATTTAGTGTTTCTATATGATATCCTCTCAGACCGTCCCCCCAGGCTCTAAGGGCCGTCAGGCATCGGTTTCAGCTCTTCCAATGCATCGCGTTTGCATACCACTATCCGCAAAAGCTCAGAGCTTCGGACCCACCTCCATCTGTTCTCGCCGCCCACGAAGGTGTTCTCGCCAGACGACTCCAACTCTTTGCCAATCAACACGCTCTGCACAACCACGCTATGTTTAAAAGGTCGGCACTGCTTTCCATTCTTTCGTCGAGCAGCCATTCGGGTGGGCTTCGGAACTGGAGACGAAAAGAATCCGCAAGCACTACTCTGACGGGCCAACTTCGAGAGGCGACCTGGAACGTTCTGTCACGGCTAACCTCTCCCTTCTCGAGCTTCGATATGATCATGTCAAACAAACTTCTTTTCAAAACCTTCACAGGCTGCAGAAAATGACGACAGATTAAGAAGCCCATTAGAGAACCTTTTAGAGTCCTCGACAGTGGGGAGAAGAAGAGATCTTGAGAGTCCACCATTGGCGGGATCGTCAGACACTGTACCGCACACCAGAAACACCCTCGACCTTTTCGCAGGCAGTGGGAAAGGGGATTAGAACAGGTTGATTCGAAGACTCGACCAATAAAGACTCGGCCGTATTGCAATAGATTTCAGCTCTCGAAGATTTCAACCCTGGTTGGGAAAGGCTTGGTATCAGCCATGGCTTCAAACTCGCTGCCATCGTTTGATGGCACTCGACAGATTGCACATGAAATGGCGGCGCTTTTCAAAAACTACCAAAACTCAACCGATGACGGCTCGGAAAAAGGAACGGCTTGTGCAGAGGCGACAGTCATGTCTGAAGAGTATACCAGGGTTTCCTTGTCAAACACGAACTTGACTCGAGACGTTTGGACGAGCAGAAGCGCCCCGAGAAGACCAAACGGAGCTGCCAACAGTTCAGCCTTGGCGCCAATGGCGAGAGTGCCAGCAATACCTGGGGAGAGAGGCAGTCGCGCTGAGAACAGAAGTTGAAGCCTGACTTGAATCCCTGAGGCTCCATGCATGCGACCGAGACCCCCAGAGTTGCGAAGAATGGACTGTGTATTATTCAGGATGTGAAGGTCAGCGACATGCAGTGACGACTCGGGTAACAATAAAAGAGAGGAGGTCTTAATCCAAACGGAGGAGGAGTTTTGAAGAGGTTTAGAGATCTCGTCTTTCAGAATTGTTCCTCCTTAAGGAACGTGGGAAAGAAGGTATGAAAGTTGGTTTGCGGACCTATGCTCAGAGGCACGGGTAGAGAATTTCCTGCTCTGATCATGGAGGAAAAAGAGCGTGCGGTTGAGATGCTTGTTGGTTAAACCTTCAGAGGATTTGTGAATAAGTAAGAAGCAGAGACGAATTACAATCGTAGTGGGATCTCATTGATCGATGAGATCCCACTTGTCCGTAGATGGCAAAAGGATTGAACTGGAAGAAAACCCGTTTAGCCTGTCCAGAGACTTCCTAATTGCAGTTGATTGGGGATGATTGTCAATTAGATGCAATCGATGCGTCTAACGATGCCTCACCTAGAAGGGACAACGCAAGACGGTAGTCAGGCTCTGGAATGACGACTGACTTGTCCACCTTAGAGGCCTGCACCATAAGGGAGTGGGTAAGCTAGTTGCTCTCATACTGAACACACCCACGAATGATGTTGCTAGGATCAAGGATGCGGGCCCTTAGAAATAAGGGTGCCTGTCTCCAAACCACATCAGACGTGCAACTCAGATTGGGTGGTGTGAATCCCTCAGTCCATTCAAACATCTGTGATTGAACTGGAGCGTTGACTTCTAAATGGCAGACCGACAATACGAGGCCCTCCGACCAGTCTACTCAACATGCTGCCTTTTGCTCTGCGGCATTCCTTTACGCTTCTCTATTCTGAAGTGCGATCTCACAGAAGAAGGCGTACCTTTGCTGTTACGCCCGCCCCTCTGCTAGACTGTTCCCCCTGCTGCTTCAGATGGGACGCCTGCCGATTGAGCTTCTCAGCTGCTAGAATGTTGCCGCAAAAACTTGTGTGCAGAACTCTAGAGTGAGGTGAAGAAGGTGTTGAAAGGCAGGATGAGCGGACAGCTGCCCGTTGATCGTGCGACGCTGTGCACCTTTTGGGACCTGGAGAAAGTTGTGGGGGTGTCAGCAGTACCGCTCGTTAAGCTATAGACCTGTGCTTGCGGATTGCATTTGAGTGAAACGACTGGTAGGAAGCCAGTTGCTGTCGTCAATTTCCTGGCATCTTACCTATCCCACTTCTTGCTTGTTGATGTTGCCAAATGGATCGTCGCTTAGACACTCCCGTTTGGAGATAGACAATGAGCATACTGGGGAAATGATTCTACTGGTGTTGCATCCACATGTACTTGGAAGTTATGTAGACATACTGACCTGTCTGGACCTTGCTAACCGCCCAGCCGCATGTTGCACGAGTGGCCAAGACAGTAGCCATCGCCTCTGGCTAAAAACTTGCAGGAATAGTGATTGATTGGCTCCTGAGAAGCGCTCTGCAGAATCGAAACCGTGCACACTCAGAATATCAGATTGGTGGCTTTCAGAGGAGTACGTCGTTTGATTCATGAAATATTCGAGGAAAGAGCAGAATGGCACCCACATTGTGTTCCTCGAGAAAAGTTCGACCTAGGAAGTGCATTTCAGTGCACCAAAGTTGCGCCTAGTAATGCAGCATTTGCCCAGCAAAGATGCGCTTGTGCAAGGGAACATAGTCTCCTCTCAGGGGGCCAATGATTGACGACGGTGCACATCAATTGTCTGAAAATTGAGTGTCTGCATGCAAATGAGGCTAACAACTGGCTATTGGACGGTGGCCGCCAGCTTAGCGTGCAAAAATATAGTTGCTGCTTGAAGTTGAAGCTGATCCAAGGCAAATGTCCATCACACTCGCCGCAGCTGGCATTGACAATGATACTGCAAACATAAGTAGGGAGAAATCTTGACTTACTGCAAACAAATCCAATCCGAGCTCTCCCTCCCACAGCTCTCCGGGCAGCTCCCTGAACAGAATGCGGGGTGCCTTTCAAAGCTACCAGGCGCTCTGGAGCTCCAACTCAGCTTTTGAAATGTTCCTGAGCCTGAGGCTGAACTGATTGTACCCCTGCATGTAGACCTAGCTTGTGCAATTGCATTTGACACCAAGAACACCGGTACCCGTGTCCTCGATTGGGAAGATTGGTAGTGTGTCAATCGATCCAAGATTAGGGTTTGTTTGAGCGCTGGAGAGGAGCCTTTCGTCCGCCACTTCTCTAGCTGGCTCTCCAGCTAGGATTCGGAGAGTCTGCTGGTCACCATTGGCATCATTCTGGGCGGCTGGAAAGGTGTAATCGTTTGCAACGCACTAGAGCTTTCTGGCGTTGAACCAGGTTCAACAGCTCAGCTACTATACTGAGTTTCGTGTTTGTGCAATGCTGGGCTGGATTACAAGCACATATGCTGAAGCAAGAAACAACACTGCTTTGAACGTCAAAGAAGCACCTGATGTCAAGCTCTACGCTTATCAAGATGACACCAAAAGGGGGGGTGCTTGGCTGCCCTCATGCCGGAAGAGTACAACGGCGTTCATTGTCAATCTTCTCCCCTTCCAGTCCTCCTCGCTCGGTATCTGCTTCTCCAAGCAATAATATTCGTCTCCAACGACAGTCAGGGTTTCATAAAAGTAGTGCCAATCCTGCCTCCATGCAACCTCTCCACTCAAGCAAGGAATCAGGCAAAGAATTTCTGCGTCATGAAGCAAAGGTTTCAATAGGATGCAGAGGGATGTATGTAGGATGCAAACGTGGACTCCATGTAAGTAGACAAAGAATGCTGTGTGCGGTTGGTGCCTACTCTTTGGATTGGAAGGCTGTAAACCACAGATGGAAAATTGGAAGGTCCTTGGCGCCTCAACCAAAGGGCCGCTGCGTCGCGTCTAAAGTGGCTAGTGGTGCAAGGGCAAGCTCGGACTATGTTCGCGTTTTGTCAACCCTTCAGACAGACATCCCATTCCCAGAATTGTATGGGGTGAGTCGCTTACTGCCCTCATCATTAATCATGGACTTACATTGTGTGGTCCACATCTTGGGCACATCTTTCGTGGTGACAACGACTGGAAGCTACCAGGGGGGTTAAAAAGACAGTTGCTTGGTGGCCTTGTCTGTGGTTATGACCACCTTTCATCCAGCAGTTTCATGGGAGGCAATGTTGTTGGGGGTTGCAGTGCTGCTGCCATCCCTGTTCTCATAGTACTGAAAGATTCGTGAGCCATGCGATTTCTTACTTCTCTTGTCCCCACTCAGCCAGGGACCCAATAAAGATTGCCCAAATCTCATTCCTTTCCTCACTGGGAAGGACAATCGAGTGGCGTCTCAAATCTCCACCAAATGTCTGTATTAAAGTGGTACCAGATCCAAGTTCGTAATCCCGCTGTGCTTTTCTCCCAGGTTCCGCTTGAGCAGTACATGACTGAGACTCAGCGCATATTCTCTGCCGTGTTTCCTGACACCCACCGCGCCCAGCGCCTTAGCCCCGTAAGTCTGTTTCTTGGCTTGTTCTGTATAACCTTTGATGTCCATACTTCTTAATGTTGAATAAAGTAGGAACAAGACTTTTGAGTTCTTTGATTGGTTGTAAGAACGCGGCTAGAGTTGACGGGCTCAAAAGACTCGAAAGGCAGAGTTTTTGAGTTCGGAAAGCTCCTGATAATCTATCAGCTAGATGGGTATAACCCAGTCCCGGAACCGATATCGTTCCTTTTCTCCTTCTGTTCTGCCGTAGTCCTTCTGGGCATCTTTGCAGGATGACGGCTCTGGCCCAAGTCGACTTTCAACAAAACTGCTCTTATTTTTTTGCAATTGCGTAGACCAGTGTCCTACTTGCAGCTTTGAATCAGGAGGGAAAGTCCTCTGTGGACCAGGCTTCCTGGAAGAACTGTAAGAGGCTTTAACCAGACCAACATGTTCGCCCCAGGAGAAGTCAGCTGATCTTGTTCAGATTGCCCCAAACGTCCTCTGCCTGGGTCTGACTGACTCCTTGCATCACTGCCCAGGAGATGCGATGCATTTCACCTTCCGGTTGGCTTAACTCCAACAGAGAGTCCTCCGAGGAACTCTTGTCGAAGTCCCTTTTTGTGTCATTGGCCCAGGAGTTGTGGCGCATGTTTATTGTTCATCAATGTTAACACTCCTCCAAACGTCCTCAAGAGAACCTCAGTCTCATCGAATCATCTGTGTCAGTCCTTCAGGAGGTGTGGCGCATGATTATTGTCATCAATGTTAACACTCCTCCGAACGTCCTCAAGGGAACCTCAGTCTAATCGAAACATCTGTGTCATTCCTCCTGGCAGGAGGTGTGGCGCATCTTCATGCTCCCCATCAACTTCTTCTTCCTCAGCGTGCGCCCCGTGGTCGACATGCGGGTGTGGGTGCACGACCCCTCGGTAGATGGTCCCCGCCCTGGAGCGACGGCGACCGGAGGAAAGGCACGGAAAATGGTGTGCCTGGAGGCAGTAAGTTTTCAATATCAGATTTGCTTTTCTGATCCAGTCCCGGTTGGAAAAGGAACTACCAAGGCCCAAAGCGTCAACACGATGCTTCTTAGGGAGTTTGATTGGCGAAACAGATAGCTGCAGCTTAAATGCAAAGAATCTAGAGTATGTCGCAAGTTTGTCGCTCCTACGTCGCTTGGAAGCCGAGATAGCTTGCGTGGATTGCAGTGGACAAAGATCGAGTGCTGCCGCCTCTGTTGGTGGCTCTTCGTCTCCTTTTATTGTTGCATGGCCATCATGATTGACAGTCAATTGTGGTCAAAGATGACACGGCTGCCTCTTATGCGCGGGCCCATTTGTTGCTTCTGTTCCTGGTCTTTGACTAGTAGCGGACCCTTAAATTGGCACACACGAAGTCCCTTCGTAACCATTCGAACTGTCAGCATTGGCCCTAGCCCCTGTTGCGTTTGATAAACTCTCTTTGCGAGGGAGCGGACGAGAGCACTTTCTTTTCTTCCGGTCGTATGCCCTTTCAATTGTCTTTTCTATTTTCCATTTCAGACCGAACGCCTCGTGCTTTGTTTCTTTGGTTCTTCTAACAGAAGATGAGAGGTCGAGAAAAAAGTTTCATTGCATAAAGACGCATGCTAGTCAGACTTGCTCCTGCTGACCCACGTCTTAGCGTTAAGCCGAAATTGGATCTTCAGCATAATCTAAATCCAGGATAGAATACTGAAACCAGCCTCCTCGACCTCCCCATCTCCTCAACCTCTCCGCCTTTGTCTCCACCCCGTTCAGCTCTGAATGATTGTCAATGCCTCATTCGATCAGTTGGTTAGAGTGCTGAAAATTGTCAAGAAGAACCTGTCACACCCAACAGAAGCCTAGTTTCCCAAACCTCCGCGTCCTCTTCGCCTCCAGCTCCGGTGTGATCTCCGAAGCCTGGATTACGTGCTCAAGCCAGACGACTTCATCCTGGGCGCAAACGGCGCCCTATACCCTGAGCGCACCGGCCCCGCGGCGCGCCTCCGAGGCAGCATGCACGTCAGCATCAGCCTCGCCGTGCCGCCCGCGCTGTTCTTCACGCCCAGGGGACTGCTGGAGCCGGCGGGGAATGCGGTAAGCTTTAGGATAATGCTTTTTGGGATGCGTGTGCTTTCGTTGTACATCTTGCTTTTTCGTCTCGCTTTTCGCGTCTTCGCTTCTAAAACGGGAAGGGGCCATTGATAATGAGGATAGCTTTTTAATGGCTCCGCATAGATCTTTAGGGCAGGTGGCAAGCCGCATCTTCTCGCCTTCAGAAGTAACGCATGAGATCCATTCAAGTCGAACAGTGCCTACGCGAAAAGCGTAAGATTTTGATTGTGATTCCCGACGAGTACCGTGATTTTCGAGCGCATTCCGTTATCGCCTGCGACCATCCCTCTGGATGGGCAAGACCAATTTGTGGTAAGACCAGGTTGTCGAGGAGTCAGCGCAACTGTCATTCGTTCCGCTTAGTTGACCGTTTCGAAGCTTTTCAATCAACACCTGTTGTATGCTGCGGGCGAATGCGGGAGCTGCTCCATCGGCTACAATGTCCGGCCAATCTGCTCAACGGCCAACCGTTCAAATCACCCCTTGAAAGTATCTGATGCCGGTGCCTGTGTTCAAAGACACGTGTTGAAAGACTGTGTCTGCTGCATATTGTTTGGGTCTTCTGATGGCTTGTCCGTCTTCTTGATTGTTTTTCGGTGACTGACCTTAGCCTACTCGTTTCTGGTCTACCCTGCAGGTCATGGAGCAATTGCTCCAAAACATGAAGAACAAGGTGAACAGCCAGCTGCTGGTGGACTACCGGGCATATGCTCAGGAGGAAGCAGCAAAGCGACGACAAATTCAAAGCGACTGAGTGGAGGAGGCGTTGTCGGCCCCTCATTATTCCTCCTCTGCTGAATGTACCATAACCCCATTCTTTTAGGTGGTAATTGCACGCTGCTTGTGATGTAACGATGCACTTTTGACTGCTTACTGGAGTTCTCGGTCTAGGTCAAGACGTGACGCTGTCATCAAAAATGCAGCCTAGTGCGTCGATTTTTTGCAAGTATGAACTATATTGTACTTTGTCAAATGCAAGACCAGCTGTTTTATTATAAGACCGTATTGCATGTGTTCATCATCAGAGCACTGGCTACGGTGTCAATTAAGCACTTTTAATGCACTGACGCTGCAATGCAACTGGGCGCGAAGACGTGACCTTGCACTGCACAGGGCGGATGCGGCACCGCCGTCCAGAATATGTCGCCTAAATACTTGACGAGTTGGATGCGTTGCAGTGGATGCATCACACTGGCATGTCAGCCGGCCTCAGCAGGGAATTGGGGATGCGTATGCATTCCAAGTATCGCTTACGGTAGTACTTTTCCGACGTATACTGGCACAGCTCCGCGCCAATATTCTATAGAACATGGCATGCACAAAGCTGAATTGATCGACCGTGGCCCCTTACCTGCGTGTGTATTTGCTTCACCAAATTCAACCGCGGCAGGGATGACTTGATCCGGCCAGCAAGGTACGGACGGTCGTGTCCTTTGCCAGCAGCCAGCTGAGCCAGCAGGCTCGACGGTTAACCGGCACCTTAACGGACAGAGTTATCATGCCGCCTTGCATGCATGACGGCATGATGATAGTTGAGCACACATGTGGGCTGCGCACTGACTCAGAGATCGTGCATAAAGAGTCGACATAGCAAGTTGAAAGGCTGGCAGCTGTCGTGACCATTGAAACATTGCGCGCTGGCAACAGCTGCCCCCTCGAACGGATCAATGCAGATCCTCGTCCTCGCCTGGACACTCCGTATCAATATCCTCCTGCGAATCGTACTTCACCCCGCAATATATACAGTACCAGTGTTTGTCTCTTAGCCGTCGAAGCATCCGCTCGAGTATCCGCACCCTGTCTTCGTCCGACACCTCCTCCACCGCGTTCTTCGCCTCTTCCTCTTCGTCTAATGATCTCTCTCCCGGCCGCAGCTTCCGTTTCCGCGCTATCCTCACATCCAGCCCCACTTCGTCTTCTAATACGCTATCTCCTTCCAATACACTACCGTTTCCGTCCTTATTTACACCCTCTAAACTTACAACGTCTCTCCACGGCCCGTCCTCGCCCTCGATCGTTGCGAGCGCCGTTTCTGCGCGCCCGAGGTCGCGCCGCACCTTTCGAAAGTCCCACCGGCCCTTTGCACGGTCCCGGAAGTCGAGGGCCAACTCCTGCTGCTGCCGTTGCCGATGCTCTGCTGCGCGCGCCCTTCGTGCGGCCTGGTCAGGGAGACATTGATTTGTTTTATGAGGTCGAAGCTGGCACATAGCACCCACAAGAGAAACGAACACCTTCGTTAGTTGCACAATCCCGGAAGTCGGGGCTAACCCCTTCTGCGGCTGTTCCCAGGGCTCTGCTGCTTGCTGCAGCCCGAAGTAGAAAACGTAGTTGATCTTGAAAACAGTCCTCATACGTGACACAACGAAGATCACGAGCACAACTGCAGTTGTGGCCGATTCTGCAGATCAAGAGCTAGAGCTGACTGCTGCGCGCCGGTGTGGGCAGGTCACGGTGCCCTTCTCACGATCTGATCAGCTGGATTCTGGAAACACGTTCGAAATATGGCAGCAGTACTGTACGCTTTCAGATAGGAAGGACCCGTTGTATTGGCACAGTGCTTCATGCCACTTGTCCTTCTGTGGCCTGATGAAAAAGACAGACTCGGAGGGGAGGTTCCAGTGCGGTCAGAGAGTGCACAGCTGGCACCAAGAGACGTAGGCGGGATGCCAAATGCGAGTCTGGTGTCGAATAGTCGTTTGCAGATACCTTACATGCGTCCGAAAAGACGCCCTCAGAACGTCGTGAATTATTCGGGTCGAAGGTGTTGTACGTAGTGTCATAAGGTCCAGAAGTTTCTCAGATAAACTTGTCGGCTGGTGAAGACGGAAGAAGTCTCGTTTCAAGATCTGGCTCCTTCATCGAGCCAGGGAAACAGTTCAGCAACAGGGGTGTTCAGGGGACCAAGCCTCGAAGCAAGATCGAAGCAGTCCACTGCCAACTGCCATTCACAGATCCACCAAGTTTCATTCACCCAAGATTCGACATGAGAGATCCGAAACAACTCTTTTCGATTCGAAAACGGCCGAGAAAGGCTTTGAAAAGCAATGCAAGCTTGACGTACTTTTGACAGCCTTTCTCTTCTGAAGCACTTCTCACAAGATAGTTGCCAGACTGCATCCAAGAACCGTGGCAATGTGAACATTCTACATTGGCTGACGCACCTTTTCTTGCTGCTCCTGCTGAATGATCTCGTCTCTGCCCAGCCCCGTCTTCGCTCTTTTCACCTTCAATTCCAGGGGCTCCGTGATACCCCCCTGCTCCGGCTGGCCCAAGCTACCCCCTGGCCTGCCAAAAGAAGGTTCAAAAGTGCTGTAATCTCCCGCGTCACCTTGTATGCAAAGACCTCTTTGGAATTTCGTTTTTGGTCAAGAGCCCCACACCTATCAAACGATGGGGCTCGTCAACGTAGGTCTGCAACTCTGAGAGATACTTTGGAACAATTCAAAGAGCGCATCTAGAAGATGGCCGAAACATTTGCTGACGCCACAAGAAATTTGAGCTTCGGGAAGGGGGCGGGGCGCTGCTGATTCATCTGTGATTTCACCTGATGAAAACCACCTTTCAGAGAGTCGTTTCACCATTGAGCCTCCTCATGAAGAGTGTGAAAAGCGTCAAAGACTCAACCACAGGAAGGCACTTGTGCGGACGAAGTAAACAACCTCAAGCAATCAAAGCAAATTGGTGAAAACAAGCGCCATTTTTGAACTCACAAGCAGTGATAAGTGACTTCCACGGCGACAATCATTATTCTGTTCAAGCATCAGAGACAAATTGGATGAATGAAAGAAAGGAAGTAATGAAGAAAGGAGCAATCAAACTCACTTGTAGCCCATCTTCTCCAGCAGCTTAAATCCAATGTTCCCCTGCGGAATTGCCTGCGCCATGCCCTCTTGCCGCAGCTTCTCTTCTTTCTCGAAAACACGCTCCTTTCGCTGCTGCTGCTTCTGTACAAATGTCAAGCGGGGCTTGGCGCTCTGCTGGGGAAGTTTCTTCGCACCAGAGGTCTTAGAATTCGTGAGCGAAGGAGCGGATTCTGCAATGCCAAAGATGCTCAAATCAGCCATGTAGTCTGGCTCGTCTGCAGGATCCTGGTCCGCCATAGCTGCAAATTGGTGTCCCAGCAGATCTCAGTTCAGATTTTCAGCGAGTGAGCGCTCCTATAATTTGTACGGCAGCATAATGCAAGATGTAGAGAAGCAATTGGGCACCACTATAAACAGAGTTCCGCGACTTGGTCACTCCATATGGAAGGCCAACAAAACTCTGGACAGTTTGAGTTCTGATGAAGGCCCATGCACTGATGCAGCCTGCAGGAGGAGCCGACGGCACATTTGTCATCATGATGATGGTACGACGGTACCATCCGACTCCGAACGCGATGGTAATGGCTCTTTTCACTGGGCGGCAGTCAAGGCGCTAACGGTGTGCATGGACAAAGAGCATTTGATTAAATACCGTCAATCGGACTGACAGATTGACGTGGCAATCCATCAACCATCCGATGGCAGACAAGGTCAAGGCGGTTCTCGAGGCTCTCACCGGGTTTGCGAAACCGGGGCAAAGAATGGATGAATAGACTGGAAAGTCACGCATCTAGTTGACAGCTTTCCTCCTGCGAGCTGGCAACTTCTCACCCGCTTCTTTCTGACGACAGCTCACCTCTCTTGAGCAGCGGCAGTGGCAAATGCGCCAAATTCAATGTTGCGAGTTGTCTCCAGCCGTCTGTCTATCCGCAGCTCGCAGCTCTGCTCTCCTCAAGCAGCTAGCCTATTCACAAGCCCTCACCGACTGAAGGCCAGCGCTATGGCCGCTCCTGGCACTGTTGTTGAGAACACCCTTCCGGGCAGCAGCGGGCTTGCAGCAGAGAATGGGCCTGTGACCAAGGAGGCTGGGTCGGTGGGGCCTGCAAGCAGTACCGCACCCGTGCAGGGGATCAAGAACTTGTCAAAGGTGGCCAATGAGATTGTTCCACATGTCATGAACCTGTGAGTGGTCCTAGTTTCTTCCACCTTTAGGGCTTTGGTGGGCCTCTTTTTAGAAGATTGTGCCGAATGATGCTTCGAAAGATTGAAGTTGAGCTGTTTCACCACAAATGAAACAGTGGTCAGAACCAGGCTAACTGTGCATGCATGCAACGTCCCATTTTCGCCCATATTGAGCTAAAACTTCGTCTTCAGCGAGCGGGCTGATTACCTTCCAACGGCTTGCCTTGAATCTGGACAGCGGGATTTGCAAGGCAGGAACTGTCCAGAAATGCTATATTTTGAGAGCTTGTAGAAGCGCGCACTTGCTGGGATAAGACTCGGGACAACGACTTGCACTGGTTTTGTACTTCAGCTTCTTCAATGTTCCGTGCTCAGAAAACAGACTCAATGAAGAAGACTCCCTTTGACCTCTTGCAGGTATCAGAGCGTTGCTACTGAGTCTGACTACAAGATCTACGCCCCAAATGCTGAATTTGAGGATCCGCTGATGCACGCGATCGGGCTCAAGCAGGTGCAATCGGCATTTCAAGCGATGCCCAAAACGTTTAGCATGGCGCAGGCTCTCAAGAGCGACGTCATCAAGGACCTTGACGCACCGAGCTCAGGAGAGGTGAGGTTTGCGGTTCCGAATGATGTTTGGCTGTTCAGAATTAAATCTTTTTCCGAACCACAAGCGATCGAGAACGCGCCGAGGTCAATAGTTGACAGAGAAGAAGTTGTCAAACAGTCTCTACGAGTTTGGGCATGTCTATTGTCAAGATTCCGAGCACCTATTCAGTGTGATAGTTGAGATAGACTCTGAAAGCTTCACTTACTTGATAACTGTTGCTTTAGGAGTGAAAGCCTTTAGCATCTCAGCGGGCCATCAAAACAATGCGCTTGTAGATCTAAACGCCTTGACACAGAGCAAGGTGGAGTGAGGTTTTATGGGCTTGCGTCAGGACTGGGGGTTTGAAGTTGTGCCAGGCGTGGAAGAACAGGAAAAACCGGCTGGGGAGGTTCCGATTGCGTTTATGGCTGGGAGATTAGATACATGTTTCGAGGGGTCTTGGTTCACAAGTTTGACTTTGCGCTCAGAATCGCGTGAGGAATCAAACAGCAAAGACGATCGGATCCTGCGTTCGCTTTCAGTTATCAAGAGCGTATGTGACATGCAGAATAACGATTGGACAAGTCTGGTGCAATTATGCTATACTTCGTCTCTGTATGTTCTGTGTTGTGGATATGTATACACCATTAGATGTAAGCTCGTCGAGTTCTGCTTTATACCACCACCTTTGCAAATCTTCTGAGCACCGTCCGTCACAATCTTTTCAGAAAATTCTCAACGACCCCCGTTTATGACTTTTAGCCCTGTTTGAAGGAAGATGACAAAGTCCCAGGCAGAAAAGAGGCTCTTCTAGCTTCAATTGCGCGTTGCACAGGCTGTCTTACGACATTCTCGTTCTGATATCTGACCGGTTGATGATTCGCCAGTTAGGTAAGACTGGTGCGGCCAATTTCGGATGTTTTCGATTCCGGACGGGCAATGTTCGATCCAAATTTCGGACAAGTGAAAGCAGGGTTTCACTCAGTGAAACTGCAGTCGATTCGATACCGTTTTAATGCCAAATCGAAACACGGCTTGATGACGTGGTCCCTTTTCGATTTGGCAATAAAACAGTATCGAATCGAC